GGATAAATGAAGGATTACTAGTGTGAAGCAGGGAGTCCTGAGAATCCCTGATGTGTTAATTTGGCTCATGTGGGAAAGAATGAGTAAGGAGACCAGAAAGTCTGAAACAGGAAGATGAGTGAGCAGCTGATGCCTATTTAGACCTATCCATGGATGGTTGAGGATGCATTGACCAGAACTCAAACAGATGAAGAGAAGATGTTTCTTTCTGAAAACTAGTAAACTAGTGTTAGTTACTTGCTACATGTTTCAAAGTTGAAGAATGACTAAGGATGATAAAGAATTAATGCTTTTGTGTTTTAGTGTTGGAGACTGACTTCCTTATTAAGTAGATGTTTTCTCAGGAACTGATTCTTCTTGATATATAAAATATTGCCCAATTTAAAAAGTTCATTCTTTAAAATAAATAAGAAAATAAACCAATAAAATAAATACCCAAATATTTATAATAATGCATTTATGAAAATATTATTAAATTATTTAAAAAATTATTATTAAATTGGCTGCAGGGTGCCACATCTTTGACTCCTAGATGCTGTTTGTCACCAGCTCCCAGCCACCTATTTGGAATGAGTATTCCAGTGACAGGCAGTCGTGGCTATGAACTTCTTTGTGGCTGAGACAGCTCTAGTGGGGGTCTCATTGCTAACATTTCATAGTAGCCTAATAATAGCTAAGCAGCAAATGGTATCAGCACCCATTACATTAAAATACCATTCCTGTAGCCATGTATTGTGGATGTGAAGTATCTTGCTTAGTAACTGGAACAAGATGTTGTGCAGGAACTTTGTAAAAGAGCAGGTTCACCAAAGGTTCTGGTTTTTCTGGAATCTGCTCCTACACAATTCCTCCTCTGGAAGGGAGCAACTAAGAAATAATTCAATTACACACACTTGCATCTCTGCTGTAGCATATAACTAACAAGTGTTAGGATGATCTCTGGTGGCTGAGGTTTAAATAATGGAGAGAACTTGGTAATTTGACAGATCAGTATGTGCTGCAGTTTGTGCTTTCCATGCGGCTGGTGATGCTGGCTTTGTTCCACATGTCATACAGGTTGGACCAGCAGGAAAACTAGCATTAGAACTTTATATTGTCATAGAACTATCTCCTCTAGGAGCTCTGGTGGCCTAGTGGCAAGGAGCTGCGCTGCAATCCCGAAGGCGGTTCGAGGCCCCCAGCTGCTCCTCAGGAGAAGGACGGACAGTCCTCCTCTTGTGCGATTAACTGCCTCTGAAAACCCGCAAGAAGGTTAGCTATGGGTTGGTTCCAACTCTAAGGTACACAGTAACAGAAATACCTGAAGATGCGTAATGTTTAGCTGAGATGGAAAAGAGTAAGAGTTAACATAAAAGAGTAGCCGTTAACATAAGACTCAGAAGCTCCAATTTTCCAAGTGACAGGTTTTGAAATAGTTGCAAATTTACTTTAGTCTTTCCTGAAATAAAAACTGTTGAAGGAAAAAAAGTTATGATGATGTCTTAAGGAAAACAGTGTCAGAAAATTTAACTGGAATAAGAGAAATTCATTAGAAACACTGGAGAGCAAAGTAGCAGAATGCTTTTTTTTTTTTAAATAAAATTGATACTCCGTTTCTTTTTAATTCTTTATGGTTCCAAGCAATTATATTTTTAATTTCTAATTTTGTAATAAAGTCTTTTAGAATTAAATAACAAAACCCATAACAGATTGTACTTGGGTGCACCTGTTTTCTGCTACTCTTAAAGCAACATCCTTCTTTCAGTCTGCCAACTTGATAGAGAGATAACGCAGTTTTAATTTTTTTATTGTTGTTTGAGTGAAAATAATGTGATCTTTTTTCCTTCTGTCTACTGGTAAGGCATTTTATTGTCATTTTTGTTGTTGTGGCTATGTGACATTGAGTCACCTGCAACTCATACGTACAACCCTAAACCCTGCTCTATCCCATGACAATCTTATTGACTCCAACACACCTATCTCCATTACCCCAATCACTGAATCAATCCATCTCATTAAGGGTCTGCCTCTCCTGCACTGTGTCCCTCCACCCTCTGAAGCATGACCTCCCTCTCCAAGGACTTATCCCACCTTGCAGTATGTCCAGAGTATGTCAGATGAAGCTTCAGAATCTTTGCCTCCAAAGCATCGTAGCTTCACCCTTTCTAGGATTAACTTATTTGTTCTCCTAGCAATCTATGGTATATTCAGTACTCTTCTCCAGCACCACAGCTCAAAGGCATAAATTCTGTTTCTATCATCCCTAGTAGTTGTCCAGCTTTCTGATGCATAGCAAGTAATTGCAAAGGCAATGGCCTGTATCAGGCACACCTTAGTCTCCAGACTGACGTTGTTGCTCATCTGTACTTTAGAGAGGTCTCTAACAGCAGACTTTCCCAGTGCAATCCGTCTTTTCATTTCCTGGCTACTAATACCAAGAGTGTTGATTGTGGAGCCAAGCAAACTGAAGCTGTTAACAATCTCCGTCTCATCACCATCTATCATGATGCTGCCAGTTGGCCCAGTGGTGAGAATCTTTGTTTTCTTGATGTTGAGCTTCAATCCATATTGAAAGGTGCAATTGTTGACCTTCTTCAACAAATGCCTCAGGTCCTCCTCAGTTTCAGCAAGCAGGGTTATATCATCTGCATAATGCAGATTGGTGTTATGTTCATTAAGCCATTGAAGTTTTTCTTTGGTTCGTGATTCTCAATTTTTCACTGTGTCCCATGCGTGTTTAATACTTAAGAAAACTTACTATAAATCAATGAGTGGTATGTTCTTGTCTTCCTCAGTACAGAGAGATCTTATTTTCTTTTTTTTTTTATCTTATTTTCTTAATTATTATTTATCTTTGCTAGGTTTGTTAGTATAATTTTGGTGTGGTTAAATCTGTTTAATGCTAAATTTACTTCTTTATTGTTTAGAGAAACTTTTCCCTACAATGGAAGTTGTTTAGAAACTAGCATTGCCCTTTGATATTTATCTTTTTCCCTAAAAATATTTCTCACTTTATTTTTACTCAGTTACAGATTTCTTTAAAATGGAATAAATTTCAGATGGCATTCTTTTCTATCAATGAATGTATTTTTGTGAATGTTCATTGATAATCTAATATTTCAAGATGAATCCATTTTAACTTTATCTTAGCTCTTTTTTTAATGTCGTTGCATTTTTTAGCGTCTTTTACCTTTTTATTCTTAGTTTATCCTAAAGATAATGAGATTATTAATTCAAATGAAGTTTGTGCCCCTATTCTCGGATAGTACTTGTTCTCTGGCCAAGAGAGACTATAAACTTGTTAACCCGTTGCTGAAAGATCTATAATAGACATAAGTATAACTGTGTTAACTTAAAAGACTGACCACTGACCCTTTCTGAATGGAATGTTGTCTTCACAAAACAAGTGAATGCCATTGAATAATGTGCAGCACACAAGAGCAGTGATTTTGTAAATTATTACCTAACTTGGGAGGAATTGGAGAGCGTTACGCTGAGTGAAGTAACTCAGTCCGACAAGGATAAATATTATATAAGAGCGTTATTGCAGAATGAGTATAAGGATCCAGGAGGGGTGGGAGAGGGTGGTGGAAGCAGAGGGATGTGAAGGGGAGGGGATATTGTACAATTTGATGGGTGGGGGGTGAGGGAAATGGAAAGAATCTGTTCTCTAAAACAGTGTATTCAAATTTTGTAAATAAACTAGTGTATGCTTTTGGCTCAGAATGAATAAATTTTGACATTTCTACCACTTCATTTGTGAAGAATATGTGAAGAAGAGCGTGACATCAAGATTAGAGAAAACTCACTAGCAACCTTAGATATATACAGCTTTATGTGTAGAAAATTAAGACAGCTTGAAACACTTATTAGTGAAGTTCAGTGACCAATCTTCTGAGTTACACATAGAAGTAAAGTAAATGAAAATCATTTCAATTACACTGATACACACACACCTTGATGAAATGGAGGAGAAAAAAATTTGATTTGATCTCTAATTCTGTTTGGATCAACAGAGTCAATGGAAGCAGCATTCTAGAATTTAAAAGATGATTTTTCAGAATTTTCAAACGCACAAATGTCCGTTTGACTACTGTGGTGAGCCTGACTCAAACCATAGTATTTTTAGTTATATACATATGAGAACTAAACAGTGCAAAAAGAATGCAGAAGAATTGATGAAGTAAAACTACTCTGTGGCTCATCAGCCTAAAAAAAAACAGTATGATGTTTTTTGGAAGCGAGATTTATAATGTGTTTAACAGTATCAAGAAAAACCATTCACTAAAAAAATAGATTCTTTTTCATTCAGGATCTGCGTAAATGAGAGAAACCCTTAGTGAGATGAATTAATAACCACTATAGTGAACTCAAACATACCCATTACTATGAAGATGGCGCAGGCAGTCTTTTGTTATATTTAAATGAGGCTACCATGAATTGGGGCTAATTCCACAATGTTTAACAGTGACATTGGTATTATGCGAAGTTAATAGAAGTGAAAGACAGATATATCGTCTCTTAGTTGACATTGAGTTTCTATTAGTAATTTGTAATCAGTGTCACTGAATTGTAAAGAATAGTAAATTTACATTACTCACCCACCATGATTGAGATTTATTAGGGGAATATCAGATTATAATTTCTGTCAGAAATGATACAATTCTTCAGTCAGTACGGTTTATTATGCTCACAGGCAAGTTGCCCTCTGACCTTTGGAGTCCTAGCTCTGAACTTGTCCTTGCAGCACTAGTCCAGTATTCAAAGCTCTCTTATGCTTTCACCACTTCTTCCCATCTGTAAGGTCCTGAGTTCTGGCGGCTCCATCGGACAACCGTTCTAGTTCAGCTGAGCTGTGTTTCACTGGTCACTTTTCTCAGTTGCTTGAATTGGTAGATGTTTGTTATGTGTATTTTTTACCTCTTATGTTTTAGAATATAAAATAGCACTTTTCAATGTTAAGAATATGAAGGATTTATTAAATTTCATTTTGCTGTTCTGTTTTTGCCTCCTTGCTTTAGAGCGTGTAATGAAGAAATCAGAAGAGTCTTCATCACAGTTGGAGCCTGAGATTAAGAGGAAAGTACAACAGAAGCGCCATTGTAGTACTTACCAGTCTACATCTCCCCTGACTCCGGCTTCAAAAAAATGTTTAACCCATTTAGAGGTAGGTAGAGACATTACACTTTTTACTAATGAAAAAATATTTAATAGTACTGGTAATATTTATTATACTCTAGATTTCTTTATCATATGATTAGAATAGAGCTACAGAGCTATAGAGCTTGTATAGGCATAAACAATATAAAAAGTAGTTTTGCTTTTAGGCATGTTGTTGTTATGTGCCGTCGACCCTATGTATAACAGCCCTAAACCCTGCTCTATCCTGTGCCAGTCACACTGCCTCTGACACACCCGTCTCAATTACCTCAGTCACTGAATCAATCCACCTCTTAGAGGGTCTTCCCCTCCTGCGCCGTCCCTCCATCCTCCCAAGCATGATGTTCCTCTCCAAGGACCTGTCCCTCCTTACAACATGTTCAAAGTATGTCAGACAAAGCCCCACAATTAGCCTGGTTTAACCTTCTCCAGGATGAATCTGTTTTCTTTGCAGTCCATGTTACATTCAATACTCTTTTCCAGCACCACACCTCAAAGGCATTACCTGTCTAAACACAGAGTGTTGTTAAGTTAGGACTGACTCATAGCTGACCCTTCAGAAGATTCTCAGAGGCATAAGTCACACAGCAGTTGATTTACCATCTTTTTCCCACAGAGCAGCTGGCCCATGTGAACTGTATACCTTTAGGTTAATAGTGGTAAAAAGCTGCATTTCAATTCTGAAGGCATGGGGTATGAGTGCACCAGCTCTTCTGTGGGAGATGGATGGACAGTCACCTCCCATGTGATTACTGCCTCTGAAAACCTGCTAGATTCCAGCATGCAACAACAGCAAATAAAGAACAGCTTTCCTAAAAATAGAATTTGGTGCTTTCCTGAAAAACACTCCTAATAATTGTATGTAACAAGACTTTTTTTAAATAAAAAAATGGAAAGATTTCCTTTTTTGCTAGCTGCCCCAGCTTTACAGTTACCATCCTCCTCACTCTCCTGTTTCTCTTTATTTCACTTTCCATCTCTTCTCCCTCCTACCCCATCTATATTTATCTGTCTGTGTTCACATCACTTGTGCATCTACACTTGTAAAGTCTATTTGCCATTTCAGTGTATGTTTCTTTTTCCTTTTTTTAAAATGGAATGACGCTCTATTTATTTAGGTCTTTAATTTCTTTTATTGATCGTCTATGGTTTCCATTATATTAAGTCTTGTGCTAGTTTTGTTATTTGCGTGAAAGCCTACAAATCAGTGAATTTTCGTTCAGCCATTCATAGATGTTTTATACCATTTATAATTGATTAATGTAATTAATTACAATACATAATCAAACCCTTATAATCTGTTACTTGTCCTTTCACCCAACTTTTAATTTTTGCTTCCCTCTCACTAACATTCCTATTAACCCTCTAAGATTGATTGTATTTTCATGTAACTTTTCCTTAGTTTTTATACTTAAAAACCACATTGCTATCAGAACTAACTCATATCTGACTCTCCAGTGAAATTTCTCTCATGGAGCAGGTGGTGGACCCTTTGGATTGACAGCACAACTCCCTATCCAATAGATCATCAGAGTTCTTTCTTTTTATATTAGTGGTTTTGTTTCATAATTATCCTTTTTTTGACTGACTTATGTCACGCAAAATAATTTGTTTTAGGTTTACTCGTACGGACAGTATTTCTCAATGCCCCTTTGTCATTTCAGTATATTTAATACTTTAAAAAGAAAATTCTTTATAAAAAGAAAAAAGACATTGTTCTATAACTAGAGTACAAATCTCAAATTATAGCAGAGTGGGAGTAATCACAAATTCCATTCTCATTTCATCTATAATATGTTATTCATGGGTGTAAGATCCAATTCAGGATCACATATTGCTTTTACTTGTATAAATGTTTTAGCCTTTCAATGTGGAATAATTTTCTAGGCTTCTCATTTTTGTCAGACCACATACTTTATAGATTTTTCTCAAGTTAGATTTTATGTTTCAAGAATGATACTATATAATTCATTGTGTCCTATTAGGTATAGGTAAGAAATTTTCTTTGTCTTATAATCATAATTGTGGGGTCAGCCTGATGGCAGCTAATAATATGATCCTTTTTTAAATAAATACTGCTATACTTTCTGACTAATAAGATTTCTGCTGTGAAGTAGAACTTTTTTTTGTTCTCTCTATTAATGTATGCGTTAGCATGGAATAGTTATATCTTTTTTCTTGTATTAAAAGTGCCCTAGTCCCTTTTGCTGTTCATGTTGTCCTAGACTGTGTTGGAGTCCCTTTAAAGTAGCTACTGTTTCTTTTTGGTATTTCCTTGTCTTTCAGCACTTCTTAATTTTGGGAAAAAGATATTCTTGTGCACTTATTTGCATTTCTTGTTATATCCCAAGAATCATTTCTCTAAGGATCTGTTCACATAAGTAGAGAGAAAATATTTAGATACTAGTTAGGCTCATTACTACTTAGTGTTCATTGGTTTTGGTTGTCTCAGTGGTCCAAGCTAGGAAATATATGTATGCCTAGTAGTAAGATGCTGGGCTTCTATCACAAGGGTTCAGTCCACAGGCTCAAGTTCAAGTCCACAGGATTCTCTTCAGGATAAAGATGGAAAATGACCTTCCATGAATTGCTGCCTTTGAAAATCTGCTGGCGGATCATTTATGAGTCAGCTCCAACTCAGTGGCACATAACAAGAACACACATATTAATAAGTCCTTGCAGCACAGTAGATTTAAAAAATTAAGTTGCTGGATGAAAGTTCAGTAGTTTAAATCTAATAGGTGCCCTGGAAGAACAATTTAACAGTCTGTGTCCCTAAAGATACACAGCTTTTGGAAACCCTAAAGAGTATTTCTGGTTTGTGCTTAAGAGTACTGTGAGTTGTAGTTGCTTGATGAAATGGTTTTGATTGATATGTGCCAAAATAATGTGTTTAATGCATACTGAAATATCCATTAATTCTTATAGATGACTAACAACCGTTAATTCCAGACTAACGTCATGTTTATTTTCATTTTTCTCCACTTTGCATTTATTTAACTCTTTTCTATCAGTGAGAAACTGTGTCTTTTTCCCCCATTCTCTCTTGTGTTTTAGACCTAACCCCTTGTATTCATAATTAGTTCTGAATTATGTATCATGAATTAAGTAGTAGACCAGATAACAGATCCTAGTCAACACTGTGCCAAATGCATGATTTGTTCTATAACTCTGATTTCTGACACCCTCCTCCGTTCAGTTCCCTCACATCTCTGTGTCCCTCGGGTTTGGTGGTTTGCTGGAATGACTCCCTTGACTGTCAGTATACAGGCCAGTTTTGCAGAGACTGGTGAGCCTCAGAGACTGTCAGTTGCTGTGTAGCAGTCATCCTGGAAACAGTGCTAACACTGAAGTCCCATGGTCCTCTAGGAGGGGTCGGCCTGTATTACAGCCTAATCCTGTTTCCTTAATAAATACTTCAGCACAAAAAAACAGTGAATCTTTGTTGAGGAGAGTCCTTTAGAAGGACAAACCTTTAAAACCACACAACCCCATTTCCTCCCTGTTCCCCACACTCAATGTCTCTTGGCACTTTAACCTTGTCCCAGGATAAACTGTTATAATCCCAATCAGTGACCACGATAAAGGAGGAAATGGAAAGCTTTAAGACATGCCTACTTTTCTCCACTGAATATATTGGCTAAAAGCTTTGAGTTCCAAATGGAAACTTATCAACCTTTTTTTTAAAATTTTATTTAAATTTTTATTCATTTCAGTAAAAATTTACAGAGACTTTGGATTTCCATTCATGCATTGTTGTACTTTTTTCCCCTCCCAGCCCTCCCTCCTGGAAAAGTAAACACTACCCTCTTGGAAAAGTAAAAGTCTTTCTTTGTTTTACAAACCCTCCTGTAGGCCTACTCCACCATTTAGCCTTTGCTCTAGACTCCTGTCATGACAAAAATACCTAATCACATATCCCTTTTAAACAGTTTTCTCCCTCATCTGTTTCAATGCAGTATACATTATTGAACCCATCTTTCTCAGTCCCTCCCCAACCCCAAGGTCAGTCCTGGTTTTACAACAGTGGCACCATGCGTATTTGTCCTTTTGTGACAGAGATACTTGACTCAGCATAATGTCCTCCAGAGTCACCCATTTTGAATAATGTTGCATGAGTTCCATGTTTTTCAATGTAGCACAGTATTCCATTGTGTGAATATACCACAGCTTCTCTGTCCATTCGTTTGTTGATGGGCACTTAGGTTGTTTCCAACTCCTTGCTATTGTGAACAAAGCTGTGATAAACATGGACTTGCATATATCTGCTTGGGTGTCAGTTATGGTCTCTTTGGGGTATATTCCCAGTAGTGGAATTGCTGGGTCAAATGGTATCTCTATTTGCAACTTTTTGAGAAAGCGCCTTACCGCCTTCCACAGTGGTTGCTATCAACCTTTTAAATGCTTAAAATTAGTCTTCCTCTTCCTATCTTTGTCAGTTATTCTTATTTTCTTCTTAGTGGAGAAAAAGAATATGGCTAACTGCCATCTTCTGCTTGATCTTTCCTTTTCATTGTATTTTAATTTTTAAAATAATGTAACCTGAAATCCCAGATTAATTTCTGCATATAAGAAACCAAGCCTCATTTTAAATGAGATTAAATAGTCTCAGTATATTTAATAAAAAATATCTGCATAGCTTGTCACCAAAGACATAAATAATAAGTCTGGTTGGCTTATGTGATTTTTATTGTTATGTTCCATCATGTTGCTTGCAGCTCATAGCAACCCTGTGTACAAGGGCCCTGAACCCTGCTCTCTCCTGAGCCAACCTTATTGTCTCTGACACACATAACCCCAGTAACTGAGTCAATCCATCTCATTAAGGGTCTTCTTCCCCCATGCTGTCATCACTCCACCCTCCCAAGCATGTCTCTCACCAATGACTGTAATGATGTGATTTTTAAATTTGTGTGTGGTACATGTATTGAAAGTCTCCTACTTAACCAGAAGTAGAAGTAAAGCTTTAATCAGTTGACTCTGAAGAGAGATTCACCATAAAATTGTTAGGTAAATTTATATTACTAAAAATAGTCATGCTGAAAAATATATTAGTTTTTTAGATTGCTAAGGTTTTTAAGTTTATAATCATTAAAACAATTATTTATCTGTATTTCTGAATCTTAAAAAGACACATGTTTCTTAGTTGATGGGAAGCATATCCTGATAGCTCAGATAATCGTAATTTTAATAGTAAGGGATATGTTTTATTTTTTAAGAGATGAATTTTTTTATACTTTAGTATTAATTTTATATAGGGAAATATTGAGAAGTATTCCTTTGCCATAGAATTTTTTTATTTAAATATATCCTGTTTATTTTTATTATACACAAAATGTGGAGCTTAGACCCAGTTTAGTCATATAAGTGATCACTTCCCTGAATTTTGAAATTTATATTACCCTTGTAATCATATGTAACTGTCAGTTACAGGTTTGTGGTTTTAATGATTTCTATCACTATAGATCTAAAAATTTGAGCAACTATATACTTTGGGCATGTTGCAAGGCAGGACCAGTTCTTGGTGAGGGATGTCATGTTTGCGATGGTGGAGGGGCAGAGCAAGAGAGGAAGACCCTTGATGAGATGGATTGATTCAGTGAATGGGGTAATGAGGGTAGGTGTGTTAGAGACAGTAATATTCGCAGAGAATAGAGCAGGTTTCAGGACTGTTATATATAGGGTCATTATGAGTCACCAGCAACTCAACAGCACATAACAACTATATATATATACACACACACACACACACACTCTTACATATTTTTAACTTGACATTGAGGCTTTTTTTTATCATAAGTTTAAATAGTCACACAACTGTAATAAGTGACCAATAAAAGGATGCTATTTTGAAATAAGATTGTTAAATAACTCTTTATATATTCATCACTTTCCTAATACCATAGCTTTTGATACTTACTCATCTCTTTTGACTGTCATATTTCATTGCCACCAACGTGTTTCTTTGCTGTAATATAAAACTTAAAAAAAAAAAGCTTAGAAGAACTTCTAGGTTAAATTATTTTAATGTTAAGTTTGATTGAGTCCATTTTTTTTTTACATACAGCAGTGTCATGTGACAGGTTAGTACTGCTTCATAGGACAATTATCACATTTTTCTCCATAAAGCCATTGAGTGGGTTAATACAGCTAATCTTTGTGTTAGAAGATTCATGGTTAATCTTTGTGCCACTAAGATTCCTTAAAAGCAGAGTTAAAATAATGCTTATGTATTTTAGGAGTACACTGTTCATCAAAACTCTGTCTCATTTGGAGTACTGTGATGGTGTTAACAGTCTTTTTTTTTTTTTATTTTGGAAATTAAGGTTTCTGAACAGCGTGAATATTGTCCAAAATGTGGAAAAGAAAAAGAAAATCAGACCAAATGCCAAAGTTGTGGTATCACCTTTTCTAAGGATTTACAAAGAAACTGCAGACAAGCGGTAACTTTGAATGAATCTGCTGGACCATTATTAAGGACGTCAATTCATCAGAATTCTGGAGGACAAAAATCACAAAACACAGGATTAGCAATCAACAGGTTTTATGGCAACAATGTGGGAAATGTCCCAAGAGATATTCTCTTGACTTGTGGTGAAAGTAGACAGAATTATTTACAGACTAATGGAAAGGCCCTTTTATCTGGGGCAAAAATAACCAAAATTACGAACCTGAAGGAAAGGAAGACAAGCCTATCAGACCTAAATGATCCAAGTGAGTACATCATTCCTGTAGTGTTCCCAATATCAATTGGGTATATTTTCCTACATACTGTAAGTAAGAACATGAAAATATTTTAAAAGCATAGTGCTGATCATTAATATCTTATGATAATTATATAACATTTTCTAGATATATTCATGCCTGTTCATGTCTTCGGAAAGTAAATATCTACCTTTGTTCTTTTCTATTAATCTTTAAAAATAGTAAAAAGCATAGACTTTGGCTCGCATTTTAAGTCAAATCCCTCTTTTGGCTTTGAACAAGTTAATTTAACTTTTATCTTCTGTAGAGGGTACATTTCCTGCCTTAAGATATTTTTGAGGGAAATAAGTTAAAACCTAAATACCTAGCATATAAAATATTTCACACTTAACAGAAAATCTCTTGTCCTTATTACTTTTATTTCTCCCTTAATCTTATTCCTGTCTTTGGAGAAACATACAAATGTACAGTATATAGTCTTGTTTTTAATAGTTAAGCATTGGAAATAATCAAGGAATGAAAAATTGTAATATAGGTCTTTGTAAAGGGGGAGAATAATCAATATGATAATATAATGTGATATGATAATGCTATATACAATGATTTTCCAGATAGGTGGTTCAGATCTGTCAACCACACGCTGATAGATTTATATTGGCAGTAAATTACACAAGAGGAGGTTACCTAGCTTTTTCTCTTGGAGCAGCTGGTGATTCTGAGCCATGTACCTCTGGTTTGGTAGTGCAGCTGCCTACCACTAACCACCAGATCTTCCTGATTCGAATATAAGAAAGTATATCAGGCAGTCACTGGGTCTTCTGTCCCTTCAGTTTTATGTAGGAAACTTAACAAAGTTAATACGATATTCAATATTGGATGATGATTTGTGAAAATAAAATGACAGTTGGCAGGTATTGAGAGAAGTAAAGAGTAATGTTTTAGATGAATGGAGTTGGCATCTCAGATAACTTAATCAATTCATAAGGAAGTTGGAAGAAAGTCATGTGATTTCTTTGAGTGCTGAGTTTAGAATATTTAAATGCAAAAACTGTAGCAAGATCCTAGATATTGACTGCTTTGTCACTATACTATATCATCTTTGCATGTTCTATTTTCAGTTTTCTTTTTTTTTTTTAACACTTTTAATTTTGACTTTAAAGTTTACAGAAAAGTTGGATTTTCTTGCATTCGTTGTTACATATTTTCCTCCCTACTCACCCCCAGTTTACTTTAAATAAAAATATTAATTCATCGTCCCTTTCAGTTTTCAATTATGGTGATGCTGAGCATAATTACAATTTCTTTTAAGTTGAATATATCACCAGGCAGATTAATATTTAGAGTTGATTATGCAAGTGTTTAGAGTTCTTTGGTGGTACAGATGGTTAATATACTTGACAGAATGCTTAGAGGCTTTAGCTAAATCATCCATTGAAAATCCTATGGCTCCCTATAGTGCTGCTCTTGCTTACCTGAGGAGGTTTTTCAGTCACAGTCAGCTCAGCAGCTGCTGCTAACAAGTGTTGACAATAATAAATTATGAATACAGGATGTGAGAGCAAAGTGCCTTCATTATGTTGTTATCTCACCTGTGTCCATTTACTAAATGATGTTTATTGCCTATCAAGCATGTCTGTATTCGCATGAAGGCTAGTGTTTACCTTGGTGATTTCCCATGGAATAAGAATCACCCAGTCACATAGAGTTTCATAGACATTTAAAAGAAACATTATTTTCTGAATGATCTGTATAGGTTATTTTCCCACCTTTGATTTTAGAATTCCAAACTCTACCTTCATAAAAACATTCTTAATTCTAATAGCTTCTATATTGTGTTAGAATAATTTAGAATCAGTTTCAGATTTGGAAAAAAAAAGCCATATCTTATGATTTTTTAGTTTTTCAAATTATTTTATTTTGGTTAGCCTGTATTGTATAGTCATTTGATTTTTTATTTATAACTAGATCTGTGTGATATCCACAGCAAATTTGACATATATTTATTTACTTAACATTTAAACTTGACAAAATAGGATTATCTCCTGAGATGTTTAATATTTTCTTTATAGTCATTTTGTCCAGTGATGATGATGATGACAGTGACAGAACTAATAGAAGAGGGAGTGTGTCTCCTCAACCTGCTGATTCAGCATGCTCTTCCCCAGCACCATCAACTGGGAAAGTAGAAGCAGCGCTGAATGAAAATTCCTTCAGAGGAGAGCACGAACTAAGAAGCATTCTGGCAGATGCAGAGTTAAACACAGTTACATTACCAAGAAAAGCTAGAATGAAAGACCAGGTAAATTTTCATACTTACTTACTTTATTAAAAATTAAATCTCCCCTTTGGAGTGTAAAAAAAACCCAATAATTTTGTCAATAGGTGTAAATGATGAATTCATTTATTAAGTGGAAGAGTGTGAGACCATATGTGAAAAAGAAGTATCAAAATGCCTGACATGTAAGCACTTGATTAAGATAAGAATGTGCCAGCCTTATAAGTAATCATAGAGATAATTTTGTATTATCTGGTGGATAGGGAGAAATAATTTGAACAATTCTAGAAACTTGGGGCATATTTTACCATGCTTTGTAGTTTACTGTGTAAAAATTTAAAAATGTTCTCTGAGAAAAGCTAACAAATTGCCTCATAGACAACTATAGCTATAGATAGAAGTATTAATAATGCTGAAAGCTTGTAAAATTCAAATATTGATAATGGATCGAGAAAAGTTAGGGGAGAAATGAACAAAAACTAGAAATAGAGAAGCAGAGGAAGAAATCCAGATGAGAAACAAGAATTAAGAATGAATAAGAAGTACAAGTGAAAGAATGAAGTAAACATATATTTGAAAGTTTGTTTAGATTAACAGTTATATCATCATACCTACAAAATTAATACAAGAATACAACTGGCAAGAATCTAAGCACAGAGGCAAGTAAAGTTGGGCCCTTTTGAGAAAACAGTGAATCAGTGTCTATGAAAATTACTTTTTTTTCTATGTCATTATGAGATTTATTAGGGAAGTAATAGATTAAGTTAGGTCAAAAACATTTTTTAATTCTACCAGTATTTCCCCCAACCTCAGCCCTCAGTGGCTTAGATCAAGGTATTCAATTCTGGGTGCCTGGGCAGTAGTTCCAATTCAGCTCTTACTCATGTGGGCTGTGGTCCACTGTCAACTCCTGCTGCTGCCAAAACCGCTGCCCCATCTCGGACTCCATCTTGCTCTGTCTCACACAGGAACCTCTGGTTACAAGGGTAAGCTGCTCTCTCTGCTGCTGCTTTATTGATAGCAGTGATATTCCTATTTTCTGTCTCTGACCCTCATGAAATTGCAAAATTTCCAACTCCCTCACTAGTGGTCTGCACTTTAGAGTGCGCTGGCGGCTTTGTGGTAAGTACTTGCACTGCCAACCCAATGACACGTGGTGGTGGTAGTTGTTGTCGTCATATATGCCATTGAGTCGCCTGTGATTCGTAGTGACCCTGTGTACAACAGCCCTAAACCCCGCTCTGTTCTGTGTCAGTCTTTGTCTCTGGTACACCCACTTGCCTTTACCCCGGTCACAAGGGCCTTCCTCTCCTGCGCTGTCCCTTTACCTTCTGAAGCATGACCTCCCTCTCCAAGGACGGGTCCCTCTTTGCAACATGTCCAAAGTATGTCAAACGAAGCTTCAGAATCCTTGCCTCCAAGCAGCAGCCTGGTCGCACCCTCTCTAGGATAAACCTGTTTGTTATCCTAGCAGTTCATGGTATATCCAGCTCTCTTCTCCAGCACCATAGCTCAAAGGCTTCAGTTCTCCCTCGTCATCCCTAGTCATTGTCCAGCTTTCTGATACATAGCAAGTGATTGCAAAGACCATGACCTGTATCAGATACACCTTAGTCTCCAGACTGACATTGTTGCTCATCAGTACTTTGGAGAGGTCTCTGACAACAGATTTTCATCTATCGTGATGCTGCCAATTGGCCCAGGGGTGAGACTCTTTGTTTTCTTGATGCTGAGCTTCAAGCCATATTGAAGGCTACAGTCCTTGACCTTCTGCAGCGTTCAGTTCAGGTCCTCTTCAGTTATAGCAAGCAAGGTTGTTGATAAATCTGCCTCCAATCTTGTTGCCACATTTCTCCTCATAAAGCCCAGCCTCCTGTCCTGGATAATCTCTTCTGCATATAGATTTAAAAGGTATGGAGATATAATGTATCTCCATCTTTCCTGATTTTCAACCATGCAGTGTTTCCTTGCTTCTGTTCTAATGTCTGCCTTCTGGTCCAAGGATAGGTTTCACATAAGCACAATCAAATGTTCTGGGATTCCCATTCTTCTCAGAGTTAGTCACAGCTTGTTGTGATCCACACAGTCAAATGTCTTTGCATTGTCAGTGAAACACAACTAAACATTCCTCTGGTACTCCCTGCTTTCAGCCACATTCCATCTAACATTAACTATAATATCCCTAGTACCATGGCTTCAAAATCCAGCCTGCACTTCAGGCAGTTCTCTGTTGATGTGCTGTTCTAGTCGTTTTTGGACAGTCATCAGCAAAATCTTGCTTGCATGTGATAATAATGATATTGCTTGATAATTTCTGTACTCTGTTGGGTCATCCTTCTTTGACAGGAACAAATATAGATTTCTTCCAGTCAGTTGGCCAGGTGGTTGTCCTTCAGATTTCTTGGCACAACTTGGTGAACACATCCATGACTGCATCTGTTTGTTGAAACCAACTGCTCAAAGGGAGAGAAATATTTCTGTGCAATTTACTGACTCTGAAAACTCACTGGAGAATCATCTGTGGGTTGGTTTCACCTTGATGGTACTTAACAACATTAACCCTTACAATGGTGTTAGCAGGCTATCCAGTTCCCTTGGTAAGCTGTTTCTGAGAGCTGGACAGTGAATAAAGTTGGACAGAAGATGAATTGTTGCTTTTGAGTTGTGATGTTGAAGGAGTACTACCAAGAGAACAAAATGCCTTGAAGAAAGTGAGACCCAGAGTGCTTCTTAGAGGCCAGGATGGTGAAGTTTCATCTCACATACTTTGGACATGTTGTCAGGAAAAACCAGCCATTAGAGAACGGCATCTATTGTTCATAGGGTCACTGTGAGTCATATTTGGCTCAGTGGCACCTAACAATAACAACACATTCATGATAGCATATAAGCCAACCACTTTTTTCTTTATCTCCTCATTTTAGTTAGATTTCTTATTTGACCGTCCCTGTCAAAGTAGTACTCTGAGGAGATAAGCACATTCCTTTTTATGAAGAATCTTCTAGTTGGAACGTGTATGTGAGAGGTAGGGTGGGTGAGTGGGTGTATGTGTGTAAAGCTGTGTAAAGCCCAATCTAGAGCAAGCTATCACATTGCTGCAGTCTATACTAACTCAACATGTTTCACATACCCTCTTTCAATATCATAAGTCAAGGATGAATTTTTTTTTCCCTCAGTTCTCTCAGCTTAAGAAATGCTGAAATGAGTTCTTCTCTTTTTATTTTCTAATTCCAGTTCTCTACATATTCAATTAAAATAATTTGTCTTCTTATACTGCCCTTTAATTTACTCTGGCATGTTTTCTCTTTGTTTTATCTTCTGCATCTTATTCTGGCCATGGTCTTTCTTATCACTTGAAATGCATCTGAGAACTGGATGACAGAAGAATTATTGAGTTTTAGCTGTGGTGTTGGCAAAGAGAACTATCTTGTGGACTGCCAAAAGAGCAAGCAAATATATCTTGGAGAAAGTACAGCAAGAGTGCTCCTTGGACGCAAAGATGATAAAGCTTTGTCTCACATAGTTAAGGCATGTTACTAGGAGAGGCTACTCCTTGGAGAGTGACAACTCCAGAAAAGCCATTTTCCTCTCTTGCAGCTCTTATCATCAGTAATAAAAACCTGTGACTTCTGTGCTTGTATCTTTTTACTCCTATAAGCTTCCACACTTCAGTGATCTTGGAGCCATTGCAACAAACTCTACTTACCACACCAATTGTGAAATCAGGGTAGCGTCCTTACAAGTTAGAGTTTCGAGCCTAACTTGACTCCGCATTACAAAAATTCCCATCAACAGCAAAAAACTGATCCATCTCTGCTTCCCACACCTGCTTCTGTCAATTATCACAGGCTTTTGCTGTTCTACTTTTATTTATTATGATGGTCACATAGAACTCATAGACGATATTTGCAGTTGTGGGGTTTATTAGGGAAGTAACAGTTTAGGTAGGGAATAAATAGTCAGCATGCCTCCAATCTTGATGCCACATTTCTCCTCATAAAGCCCTTCAGTCAGGACAGCTGCTTCTCAGCTATGCTCATGGGCAGGCTTCTCTCTGACCTTCCCTTTCTGAGCCCTCTCTACTTTATGGCTCTGAAGTATTAAAAAGTTCTTTTGGTTTGCCCCATTATCTGTACCAGTCCTCAGCTCTTCCTTTGGGGCAACAGATCTCATTTAGCTTTGTCTCATGCCCAGTCTCTGGTTGTCTGGCACTTCTACTGCCAGTTCCACTACCACATCTCAGCCTCACTCAGGAACCTATAGCCCAAAGAACTTTCTGCACGCTTTATTGCTTTCTTTTTGGTAGTGAGAATTCCCAAAATGATTTTTAATGTATATATACCATTTGGTTAAATAGTTCACGCCTTAGATTTCATCTAGAAGTGAAAAATAACTTACTGGCATATAAGGCCATTGCTGTTTTGTGTTTGAAGACCATATGAGAAAATATGATTTGTTTGTTTGTGTGGGTTTTCTTATTAAACAAATGATATATTCATACCATGGAGCCTTTGAAAGTAAAAATTAGGACTTTTAGAAAATTGGAACATATGGCTTATAATTTTTTAAATTGTATTCTTTATTGGGAATATCAAGATATAGAAATATAAGTATATTCCTAATTTTGTAAAAAATAGTTTTTAAAGAAAAACTTTGAAAAAAATTGTATAGGTGTATTATGTCTGGGTGATCAGATTTATGTATAAAATATGGAATCTTGGGCTTTTTAAATATAAGAACCTTAAGAAATGATAACATAAAAACCGTGGGAATTAAAATTTAGAGGGTAATATTAGTATACTGCTTGGGGAGAGGTGTCTTTAGGCATTAAAATAAACAAAAAATAATAAGAAAAAAATGCTTATTCTTAACCAAAAAGTATATGGCCTTTAAATTGTTAAGTGCAAATGTAGTGAACTCATATAATGAGCTCTGTGTGACTAAGTTAATTCTTCTATTTTAAAAAAAAAATCATAAAATCAGACCATACGAAAATATGTAAAGGATATAAATGAAGTTTTAAAAGGAAGTAATTAAATAAGGTAAAATTAATTTAGAACAAAACAGTTGTTTTTAATCAACAAGTTGTGGAAAATTTAAAAAACATTCTATTGCTTTATATGGCCTGTGGGCACGAAGCTTACTGTAATACTAAAGGCACATAGTTCGAATCCACCAGCTGCTCTGTGGGAGAAGGGTGGGCAGTTTTCTCCCTTGCCGTTTTCTGCCTCTGAAAACCCACTGGAAGCAGTGGGTCAGTTCTGACTGTGGCACACGACAACAACAGTACTTCATGTTGGTTAATGTTTACAGAAATGGAATATTGAGTGTGCAAAGTGCTATGATTTTACTGTGGACAGTTTAGAAATCATTGAGGATATCTACCCAAACCTTCTTGCAACAGTGACTGTTAAGTCAAATTTACTAGTATGTAAAAGATATATGCTTTATCTTACGGTTTTACTACTGAAAGAAAATTGTATCTTATAAATTCTTGGTAGATGTGTACCTCATTTTCAACCTTATTTTATTGTGTATAAACTTTCTCTTTTTCAGTTTGGTAATTCTATTATCAATATACCCCTAAAACGTCGTAAAATGATGTCTCAAGAAACTTTAGTTGATCCTATGTCCTTAAGCTGCCAAAGTTCCTATGAAAGTGTCATACTAAATTGCCGAAGTATACGAGTAGGAACTCTCTTCCGGCTATTAGTAGAACCTGTAATTGTAAGTATATTCTTCAGCTCTTTGTTATACTACTTTTAATATTCAAGATTTCTTGTAAAATGTAATAGCTACTATTCAAAATAATAGAATATTGAATTTAAATATTTAAATTTTTTCAAACTTGCAAATTGCTTTGAGAGGATATAGACAATTGTGAACTATCAGAGCACCTCACAGTTAAAAATCAGAAGATAAAATTTATCATGATGTGTTGGGTTGAAGTAGTGACATCATGATTAAAGGTAGATATTTACTATTCCTGGTGAGTAAACCCTACATTATATTTCTGTTTCATTTTTATGCTAGCTCAGTGAAAGAAAACAGTCCTTTTAAGTATGTAGTAAGAGAAGAAAACACAAAAACCCGAGAACTACAGAATATTTTAGTGCAGCAGTAACATTTGTAACCAAAAAATTACACACATTGCCAATGAGTTAATTCAGACTTCTAGCGACGTAGAAATAGACTATTGGACAGAAATGGTCATTCTAGAAGCATTCTGGTTTTGGATTATTTCAACATATAGAATACCAAAAGACCTTTATTTTATTTTAGTCCCTTTCCCAACCTCTTATCACTATGTAATTATTGTTCCAGCTATTAACTAATTCAAATGTTTTTTCAGTTTGAAATTTTAATATTATTTATTTAACCAGAGTAATTAATCATCATTGTTCTACTAAAAGTGTTTGGAAGTTTAATATTCCTACTTGGTTGCGCACATTGATTTTTATGTTTTCCTTGATCTTATCTGTTTCCAACCTTTCTTTCGAACTGTATCTTACAGCGTTGTCCTTTATACATAGTTAAGTGTCTCATAATATACATAGCAGGAACATTAAAAGATAATATTTTTTAAATGGTATTATGCAAATTAAGATAAATACTAGGGTGGTTTGGTTTTCTTATAAATTGTCATAATTTAAGATTACTGAAAGGAAAAAAATAGATTCCTTTCTATGTAAAAAAACAGAAGAAAGTTCTATCGGAAGCCAGTATTTCTTCTTCTTTTTCATGAAAAGTCCAGCTTCTTACACAGTTTCATACTGGTGGCCTGGTGACCAACCCACAGGCAGACACTTCAAATCCATCAACTACTTCCTACGAGAAAAATGGGCAATTCCCTGTACAACTTATTTTATACTTAAAAATTTTCAAGAGTACTCTACAGGCTGTATGGCTTTTCCTCATGTTAGCATTCTGTTTAGACCCCTTCAACATGATGAGATTTTGACTGGTATTTAAGACATTTAATTAAATATTGTGCACTTAGTCTCAAAACTATTTATATATAAAAAATTACATTAAAATTTCAGTTGTTTTGTTCACATAAAAGTTAAGGTTAGATAATACCTTGTATCTTCAGTGAAGAAAACTCATTTATTTAAAGAATATAAGGTAATGAGTATACCGCAAAATGTATTGGTACCTTTTTAAAAAGACCAAGTGGTTTTAATATAAAATAGTCTTAGTTTCTTTCAATGGATTTTACCATGCAAAACAGTTTTACTTAAAATGTGTAATTGTTGTAATGTAGGATTGTCCCAAAGAATATTTTTCATCAAAGGATGGAGGATCTCTTATCTCTTTAGAAAGCATATTTTAAAAGATGATTTGGCATTTGCTGCTTGAATTTATCTCTAATACCATGATCAATCGGAAAACATTGTAAATTTTTTTTTATTTTATAGTTTTTTATTGTTAAATAAGTAAATTCAGGATTTACTTAATAAAATTAGCATATTAAAATTTAAATCACTTAGAAATAAAGCAGTGTGTAATTTTTCAGTTAAAAGAATATAATGTTAACATTTAGAATCCCTTAATGATGTAGGTGCAATGGCTCTATGTCTACTCGTAATATTAATACATCTGTTTAATTACACATATTTTTAGATGGCTTATCTTGACAAACTTTGTTTCATATGGTATAACAATAGTTCTATTCAGATACTTACAGATTAGTTTTATGTCAACATTTTATCATTTTTGTTTTAGTCATGATAATATAACTTCTTAATAACTATAAATAACTTTTGCTACTTTATATGTTGAATGTGTCCATTCTTCACTTCCACAATGTAACCAATTAATGTTCATTTTGTTAAAACCTATTCTTCAGAGGCCATGCCATGAAGAACAAGGAAAGATTTCTGCTCTAGATTGGAGTAGACTAAAGAAATAAAAATATAACATTAAACTTGACAAGATCATAGATCGTTATAAGGAAAATATTCACATAATTATGTATAAGCTGTGGAATAGCATTCATTTGTTTTTCCTTAGATGCGATAATCTTGCTTTTGTTGTGTGGTTGAATGGCCTCATTCTTGGTATATTTATGCTAGAAGTCTGTGCATGTATGTATGTATGTGTAAAGACAGCTAAAATTGAGTGTTGTGATAACAAATGAGTATTGGATTTGGTTAAGGAGTGCCTTGTTTCTTGTAATGTTCAGTCTTTTTTATTTTTTTTTATGTTCTATCTTATATTCAGATTTTTAAAATATAGAAAATTTAATCATTATCTAGATGAATCAGTAATAAATGGTATGAGTACTTACCAAAAACAGATTAAGCCTACTTTTTCAATAGATAGCTGCTGTTGTTATGTGCTGTCAAGTCAGAATTGACTCCTAGCTGACTATTCCGTGGGCTTTTAGAGGTTGTAGTAAATCACACAACAATTGCTTGCCCGTCTTTCTCCCACTGAATAGCTGATGGGTTCGACCTATGTCCTTTGGGTTGGCAGAGCAACTCTTACCATGAAACCATCAGAGTTTTTTTGCTTTTTTTAGGTAAAAGTCTAAATAATAAATAACATCTAGATTAGGCTGTAACAAAGCTTTTATGATACTGTGACCAGTACTAATGTATTTTATTTATTTACTTTTTTTAGTTTTGTTTAGATTTTATCAAGATACAGCTAGAAGGTAAGCTATGTTATTCTTTGTATTAACTTAAATTTTATTGTACTAAAAGCACTATATATGAATTAAAGATAGATGATAACCATTTAGAGTATTAGTCATTAAATATATTTTCTTAATTGCATACATGTATTTTAACATAACTCAAAGAACTAATTCTGTAAGATCACAAAATCTAACATTTCATCAGAAGCCCTTTTTCATGAGGGGGAACAAATGTCTACGCTTCTTTTTGAAGATTTTTTTCCTTATTTTTTAAGTAGAGTTATTTACAGTATCTAATTTCATAAATAGATATTTAACTTTAATATTTTCTCATAGCATACTCCACCCATGACTTTACCCTCCTAATAATTTATTCCTTTTTCATTTGTATTTATTTTCCTCTAGAACCGGAAGGTGATCCTGTAACATTTACTTTAAATACCTCTGATTTAACTAAATGTGAATTCTGTAATGTCCGAAAATTACCAGTAGTGTTTCTACAAACGATACCAGCAGTTTATCAAAAGTGGAGCATGCAACTGCAAATGAATAAAGAGGATAAAGTTTGGAGTGAATGTAAAGGAATAAATAAATTAACAAGTAAGTTATATACAATAAATAGAAATTTCTTTTCATAATTTAAATAATACATTAAGTGCAATACATACAATTTATTAAATAAAATATCAATGCACTTACATTATCTACAAGTTCTGACAATTTGTAAGAAAAATATTCTCTTCCCACATTTGACAAATAAGGAAAATTTTTACAGATAATCCTAAGACAAAATGGTAAAAAATCCAGGTTTGCCTATTTAAAATGTTTTCAAAAGTAGAGTTAAAATAAACTCATAATCTGGTACTCTCTTGACTATAACAGTATGTAATTATGTTTTTATTAAAGTGCTAAGTGCAAATCAGTTGAATCTGTAAAACTTGACCCAAAGAAAAAGGTTTTACTTTGATACTCTTGAGTTTGCATCCTCAATAAATTCTTGTAATTCCCTGATTTAAATTCTTTCCCTTCTGAATAAATAACTGATTGTTGTAGCATTAAGGAGTTACTTATTTAGGTGGCCACTTAATCTAGCAGGGTTGTTTCCAAAAAATTCATAATATCCACATACACAGATGAGATAGTAAGATAGTTTATTCATAGTGGCAATGAATGAAGAAAGTAAATGAGTATGTCACCACTTGGAGAAACACCAACAATGAGGAAACTTCATGAGGAAAACCCAGGGCTCTTGTCTAGGAGTCAAAGATGTGTAAACCTGCAGCCATGGAAACTGTCCAAAGATGGCACTACCAAAGGGCCTACACATTTTCACTGTAGATGCATATGTGCCCTGTGCCTATGATGCTGGCAAGGATCCCAAGGGCATCCACAGCTTCATCCTTGAAGTGTTTATTAGTTAATCTGTCCCATATGAATAGCCATTTCTCTAGAACAGAGTATGTAGTTCTGAGGTCAGTAGTTGGACACATGAACTCATGTGATTTTTTCAAGTACTTAGACCCATAGTTACTGCTGTAAAATATTTATTTTACAGGTTGTAAGATAATTCAGGTTTGTGATAGCTGCTTCAGCTTACTGATGAGTACATGTTAGCTACTATTAAGGTTGTAAGAGTTGGCACATTTATGAAATACTAGGTTTTGTTATTCTCTAGAGATAATATCAGTTTGCTAGACAGTTTTCTTTCTCATTTTAGAAAATTATCAACTGATGCCGTTTTAAAATATGGATAGATTTAGATCCTTTTAGTTAAAGTAAGCCTGTTATATCTATGAATACATTTTTCTTAAGCTGCTACTAGGTTGGTGTATTTTGGTTCCATACTGTCATTCATATTTATTCTAATATGTTTTGTGTACTTGCTATATGCCAAACGTAGTTTTAGATGTTTATACTAGAATTTCTTACACAATTTGGGGAATAACTAGATACTACTCTTATTCTAGTATCTACATTGTTCTTACATACTGAAATTATATTTATTTCCTTTTAGATCTGGAAGAACAGTATATTATGTTTCTTTTTCAAACTAGTCTTGATCCTCAAGCAAATATGGTCTTTGAAAACATCATTACTGAAATTGGTATAAAGAATAATATTTCAAATTTTTTTGCAAAAATTCCCTTTGAAGAAGCCAATAGCAGACTTGTTGCCTGTACAAGAACCTATGAAGAAAGCATCAAAGGAAGTTGCATACAAAAAGAAAATAAAGTGAAAAATGTAATTATGTTTTGAAATGTTTCTAATTTTAAATTATTGGTACCTAGAATAGTAAATAAGGACTTAACTCAGATGCATAGTCCTTAGGTTGGTATGGTGCTATCCCAACAGACACATTTCTCTAGTGGTTTGAATCCACCAGCTACTCTGGGAGAAAGATGGACTGTCTTCCCCCAGTATGATTTATAACCTGCTTCAGGGTCAACTGTGAGTCACTTCCAATTTGACGGCCATGAGGTTTTGATATTTGTTGTTGTTTTGCTTTTGATGTTTGGGGAAGGAATGGTATTTAATAGAGGGAACTATGTTTTCCTTTTAATACTGCTCAATTTGGGGTCAGATATTTTATTTTCATTTTGGAGTTAATTTACTTTAATATGTAACCTTTAAACTGTCTTGTGTCAAAATCTTAATGATGACTTGGTGATTTATGGCATTCCAATTCATTTACCTTATGTTTTCTATGGTTAATGATGCAGTTGGATCCATTACAACTTACTTTAAAGATATTTCTGTTCCATTCTATGGTTACATGTGATATGTACAGGCATGCTTAAAAACTTGTGCAGTAGAGACTACATTCCATTTGATCTTAGTTTTCAGCAGAGAATGTGTTTCTAGAAGAGTTACTCATCACTTAGATGGCATTGAAGCTGCCTTACCAAGGGCAACATTATTATTTATAACACATGATGTAATATAAATAATACAAATAAAACATAAATATCCACTGATCATTACTACCAAAATGTTGAAAAGACTTAATCTTTCAACATAGCTACAAACTTGGAAAGGTGATTATCCAAGGCACGGTCTTAATTATGTTACATAAAGCCTGTCTAATGAAGAAGCTCTTACATTTTTAGTGACTTAGAGGAAAAAGCAGATGAAGGGATAGGGAGTCATTATCTTTATTTTGCTGAGTTGACTATAGGACTTAATGGCAAAGGAGGGAATAAAGCAACAGAGGTGGACTGGATGTCAGTGGACGACTTGTTTCACTAAAGAGACCAGCTATTAAATTTAGATTTGTGTAGAGCTAATGTTCTTTGGACTTTGCTCCCTGAACTTCTATCCTTTATATCTCTTGAAAGTCTTAGCCATTGAATTTAAATGGACTTTGTCAATGAACTTTCATTACTGCAGATTGAATTTAAATGGCTATTCTCAGGAAAAAACAAAACACTAGATCTGATCTTTGCATTTTATTAGCATAATTAATACAGATAGTAAAGATTTTTAGCAGATAACTATTAACAGATAAACTAATAGAAAACTATTAAGTCATAAATTTGGAGAATACATTGTTCTGGAAAATAGAAAAAGTAGAATTAGTTCTGATGGTTTTTATTGTTAAATACCATACGTACTTTTTAGATACTTTAATAAAACTTTTTAAGTAGAGGGATATGTCAGATGGAGTTTGTGAGTTAATAATTTAATTCTTCTTGCCCAGGTATCCTTTGAAACAAAAATACAACTTCGAAATAAGCAAGAACTGCAGTTTTTTGATGATGAGGAAGAAACTGGAGAGAGCCATACAATTTTCATAGGTCCAGTAGAAAAGTAAGAGAATTCCTTCTTGTTTGTGGTGTGATGCTAGCAATTATTTTTCTTTTTTTACATAATGCATTTATTCTTTGTTTTCATAACTGCAGATTAATAGTATATCCACCACCTCCAGCTAAAGGAGGCATTTCGGTTACTAATGAGGACCTACACTGTCTAAATGAAGGAGAATTTTTAAATGATGTTATTATAGACTTCTATTTGAAGTAAGTTCAGTTTTTACTCACTTCTTAGCAAATATTCTATTATTTTCTGTTACACATTTTATTATCTTGTATATCTTTGCTTTTTGGAGTTAGACTTCTTTTTTCATTCCTTCACTGTCACAGCATGATATTTGTAGTTATTTAGTGTCTGCGTGTATTTCCTCAGCTATACTGATAGTATCGGAAAGAGTTGTGATAACTAAACAAGAGAATGTTTTCTGAGAGAAGCATGCCTGGAATTTGCAAAATATTCATAAATTATAGCTTTTTATGTTGTTATTGTTCATAGTGTTTTTATACCTGTAAAAACATTTTTACTACCCCATGTTAAGTAATGATTTGTTTAGTAACTATAAAAATATTATTGCCAGTGTTAGTTGTGTGCTTTCTAGTATATTAGTATAAGTTTATGAGTTATTAAAGAATACAATATAAGATTAAGCTATAGTAGAAACATTAAATGTTACAACAGAAAAGAGAATTCTTTCTTTGACATCTGGAAAGTATGAGGAACCAAGAAGCAGTCCTGGAAGAGTTTCCATCATGACTCAGTTATATGTATGTTTATCTATAATATGTATGTATATATTTATATATAACATTTATTATAAATATATTTTTACTAGTTTAGGATTTAAAGTGGATATGCTTATGAAACAAAACTTAACCATCCAAGATCCAATTCCTTCTAATATTTTCTAGCTTATTCCAATGTGTTTCATAATACAAAATTATTTAAAATTTGGCTGTATAAAGTTCCTAACATGATTTTATAGTCTTATTACTGGTAGTCACTCACAGTGGAGGAGAGACAGAGACTCACTAAGAGTGAAAGAATTTAATCATACACACCTATGTTCATTGTTGCATTGTTAAAACAACCCAAGTGCCTATCAACACACTAATGGATAGAGAATCTGTGATATGTTCACACAACAAAATACTATGTAGCACTGAAAAATAAGGAACTCATAAAATACATAAATTGGTGACCTTGGAGGACATTATGCTGAATGAAATACCTGAGTCACAAAAGGACAAATACTGCATAATGTCACTGTTATAAAACGACTGATAACAGGGTTGGGGGGAAACTAAGAAAAGAGGGAATAAATAATGTGCCCTACATTGAAACACATGAGGGAAAGAACTGTTTAAAAGGAATATATGGTTAGGTATTATTTGCATGACAACAGCCCAGAAAAAGGTTGATTTAAGTGGCTAATTGAGGCATTTTAGTTGATATGAAGAGAATCTGATATTTTAGGAGGTAGAGTTATTTAGAACTCTTTAAAGGGTAACTAAAATGCCCTGGTAGTATAGTTTGCTGGACTGTTAACCACATTTCAGTGGTTCTAATTTGCCACCCACTACTTAGGAAGCAGGAGTGGCATCCACTTCCTAAACAACATGCCTCCGGAAACTGTGAACTTTGATAAATGTCAGTAGTTATAGAAACACTTGAGGCCTTTTGTTCATAGGCTCACTATGAGTAACCCAAATTGAAGGCTGTAGTCTTTGATCATCTTCAGTAAGTACGTCAAGCCTTCTACACTTCCAGTAATTAAGGTTGTGTCATCTGTTTGGTGCAGCTAGTTGATGAAGCTTTCTCTAGTCCAGATGTCACAATCTTCTTCACATAGTCCAGCTTCAGCTTCTCTAACTATTTGCTAAGCATGCAGCTTGAATAGGGAGGAGGAAAGAATACAATCTTGACATAGCCCTTTCCTGATTTTAAAACAGGTAGTGTTCCAGTCTTCTGTTCAGGTGACTGCTGCTTGATCTGTGTGTAGATTTTGCATAAACACACAGCATATTTTGATTACTGTAGACTTCATTTTTTCATCCTCAGTTTGAACTTGCGTATTGGTAGTTGATAGTCTGTTCCTGAGTCAGACTCTAAGCTTTGTTTTGACTGCTAATATTGAGCTTTTCATGTAGTCCATCAGGTCAGTTCCATGTATATACTTGCCATTTATGGTTTGGTTTTGTTTGGGAGTTTTTGTTTGTTTTGGGGGGTTTTGTTTCTGCCATTTATGTTTTTTTAAAGTATTTGCCATGAATGAATTACTCATTGTGCAAAATTCTATCAGATGATCTCCAGACTTGTTCTGGTAAATAGGATCATATTTTCCAACTGACAGTTCTTCTTTCTTTCTAACTTTTGCATTCCAGCCACCAATCTTGATTGAAAGTTCAACAGTGGTTGCTAGGAATCTTCACTTTATCTTTGGTTTTAGTATTTTGATCCTTACATTGGATTAATCATTGTATTAATAGATCTTTCTTGTATGCCTGTGGGTAGTATACTGTCACTCAGAGCACTGTACTTCTGAATAGATCTGGTTGCTCTTTTTGAAGATGGACATACCACCATCTTTTATAAAATGAATGCGATTCTTTGTATAGGACATGTTCGTCTGATTAAGAATAGCCAATCTCACAATGAAAGAACTTTCTTTATAAAGGAAAAAAAGTGAGCTGGGGGGAGGGGGACAGGGAGGAAAATGTGCAACAATGAATGAATGAATGGAAATCTAAGTTATTAATAAACTTTTTTTTTAAAAAAAAAAATAGCCAATCTTAGCTCACTAATGCCTGGGATGTTTTATCATTATGCATTCCCTTTCATTTTTTACATTTCCTAGTGGCAAGAAGTTGCGCTTCAATCCCAAAGGCATGTGGTTCGAATCCACCAGATGCTCCACTGGAGAAGGAGAGGCAATCTCCTCCTGTGCCAGTCGGATTCAGTTTTACAGTATACAACAAGAGAGAAAGAAAGATATGTATTGTGGTTATGGCCTTTCTCCATACATATTCAGTCTTTATGCTAAGAAAATAATTTAGTAAGCTGGACTTTATCAAGAAGAATGTGGCATCAGACTCAGAGGAAGACTAATTAACAGCTTGCATTATGCAGGTGACAGAACCTTGCTTGTGGAAAGTGAGGCCTTTAAATGCTCTCTGCCGAAGATCAATCACTACGACCTTCAATATTGATTTACATCTCAACATGAAGAAAATAATTTTCACCATTCTGCAGATAGACAACATCATGATAGATGGAGAAGACACTGAAATTGTTAATGATTTCATCTTACTGGATCCACAGTCAACACCCTTGGCACCAGCAGTCAAGAAATCAAGACACTTTGCATTAGGAAAGTCTGCTTTGAGAGACTTCTCCAAAGTTGAGGAGCAATTAAATCAGTGTAAAAACCAAGGTGTGCCTGATTCAAGTCATGATATTTTCAGTCACTTGCTGTACATTTGAGAGCTGAACAGTGAATAAGAATGACAGAAGAATTGATGCTTTTGAGTTGTGTTGGAAAAGAGTACCAGATATCCCATGCACTGTGTAAAGAACAGATAGACTCTTGTATGAAGTACATTACGGTTGCTTCTTGGAGGCAAGGATGGCAGAGCTATACTTTGGCATGTTATTGGTATTGCCATCCCAAAGCCAAAAGGTTCAGATCTACTAAGAGAAGAAAGGTGAGCAGTATCCTTCTAAGCAGTTTACTGAAAACCCTCAGAATGGTCAGATCAGCTCTGTATCGCTTCCGTATTTTTGACACAGAACAACATGCCATATTTGCAGATGTTAAAGTATGTATATAGAAAGTACCAAACAATCTACAAAAAATCCCCACCAAAAATTTACAAGTTGAGCAAGATTGAAAGCTCCAAAATAAAATCCAAAGGTCATCGTATTTTTATGTTCTAGCAATGATGCTACTGTGTATGGAGTTGTACTTCCAATCCAAAGGCAGATGCTTTTTATCTACTACATGCTCTGTAAGGAGAAAAATGGGTAGTCTCCTCTTATATGATATATTGACTCTGAAAACCCCACTGGAAATTAGCTAAAAGTTGGTTTCAATTTGACAGCAATGACTTGACTTGAAAATTCAACATATAAAAACCAAAATTAAAAATACCTATTATTTACAATCCTTCAAAGATTTAGGTTTAAATCTTTTCTTTTTGAACATAAGTATGCATATGATAATAATGGAGAAATGTCCCATATATTCATTGTTTATAATACTCAAAGACATTTGTCCTCAATTAATACACAGCTTTAATAGAACCTTGTCAAAATCTAGATTTTTTTTTTAAATGGGGATAATACCCTAAAAGTATACGGGAAAACAGAGGAGCTAAAACAGTTATGGAAAAGAAGAATAAAGGAGGACAAATAAGTTCACTTCAGTTCTCTGTATGGTTTGTGGAATGATTGGGTGAACACAAATATGCATAATATTTAGCTATCATTTTAAAAGTCCTGCTGTTTGTGGGAAAGGCAGATACATAAATGAATGGCACAGAATAGAGAAAATTAAATATTGCCTTACATAAATATGACTGATTACATTTTTCCTCATTCAGAATTTTATTTTCTATATACAGTTCAAGATTTTTTTTTAAATTTTTTTTTTTTTACATGTCAAGATCTTTGATAGCAACACACAACAGACTGGGAGTTGCCTTGGGAAGTAAGCATGAAGGGAAATAGAGACTGTCACTATTAATTTGTATATTCTGGGCATTTAAGTAGATTTTTACCTGTTTCTTTTTTTTTTTTTTCTTTTTTACCTTTTTCTTGACAATCTTCTTTCATGTAAGAAACAAACAAAAAAAAAACCCAACCACATTACCAAGGACTGGAATTGACTCGTAGCTGAAGCTTCTTAAGGTTTTGGAAGCTATAAACCACACAGGAGGTTTCCGTGGCTTGCCAGTAGTGGATTTGAACTGTCAGAGAAGAACCACCTTTGTGTTAGCAGTGTACATTACCAGAGCTCTTTCATTTAGCATAATGCTAATCCAAATTTTTCCTTGTTTATTCTTTTCCTGAATTTAGGTAGACCATATTTTGCTTATCTTCATCAGTTGAAAGAAACAAATTCTTTCCAGTTTTTGAAGCATTTTGTGCTTTCGCGTGAATGTTTACATAGCAAAATAGTTTTCTACTCAGTACATACACACATTTCAGTGACATTGGTTGCAGTCCCTGGGATGTGTCCTCACTCTCCCTCTTTCCTCCCTGGTTCCTCATTTCCTTATGTTCAGTTGCCTCTTCCTTCCCTTTGTTCTCATCTTTGATTTGGGGCAGTTGTTATCCTCTCAGTCTCATATAATTCGTTTTTCTAAGGAATACATTCTTCACTGGTGTCATTGTTTATGTTTGTTTGCTCTTTCTGGTTTTTTAAAAGATTTATTTATTTTTTTCCATTCATTCATTGTTGCACATTTTCCTCCCTGCCCATCCCCCGTTTGCTTTTCTCTTTGAAAAAAGAAAAAAATGCTTTCATTGTTATGCAGTCCTCCACCCCTAGTCCACTTTTCTATCCAGCTTTTATTCTGGACTCTTGTCATGCAAATAATGCCTAATCATATATTCCTTTTATTAAGCAATTCTCTCTCTCTCATCTGTTTTAATACAGTGTACCTCATCCCTCTCTTCTTACTTTCACCGCAACCCTGATGTCAGTCCCGTTTTACAATGGCACTATGCAGTATTTGTCCTTTGTGACTGAGATATTTCACTCAGTATGATGTCCTCCAGGGTTGCCCATTTAGTATATTTCATGAGTTTCTTGTTTTTCAGTGCAGCATAGTATTCCATTGTATGAATATGAATATATCAGAGCTTCTCTATCCATTCGATTGTGAACAAAGCCACAGTAAACATGGGCATGCATATGTCGTCTTGGGCGGCAGTTCTGGTTTCTTTTGGGTATGTTCCCAGTAGTGGAATTGCTGGGTCAAATGGTATTTCTATTTGCAACTTTTTGAGAAAGCACCATACAGCCTTCCATAGTGGTTGCACCATTTTACACTCACACCAACAGTGAATAAGAGTTCCAGTTTCTCCACAACCTCGCCAGCATTTGTTATTGTTTCTGTTTTAGATTCATCTTTTATTTCCTGAAATGTGAAACTTTTTAATAAAACATGAAGTAGTAGATGCATTATCTTGGTATCCTTTTTATAAATTAGGTATTTGGTGCTTGAAAAATTGAAGAAAGAAGATGCTGACCGCATTCATATTTTCAGTTCTTTTTTCTATAAACGCCTTAATCAGAGGGAGAGGAGAAATCTTCATGAAACAACTAATCTGTCGTAAGTCACTGTAAAGATCGATTATACTGAAATAATACTAATTAGTTCTGTTATTTGCAGTGTAGTCATGAATCATAATTCTGAAGCCTCAAGATTACATAGAATTTACAAAGGTCTAAATGTGATAATCTAAATATGCCTGGGGGTTCAAAGGTATTTGTTTACATATCTGTTAAGTATAGGTTATTCTGTTTTACTGCCCATAGTGTTGTACCCTATATTAATCTGTAATTTATACAGATAATTCACTAATTCTTTAATTAGGGTATTGAGCTCTAATACTTGGTGATAAATTTGAAAAATTTCAAAAGAAATGCTCTCAAAATTAATGGTATTCATTTCTTTCCAGCTTCTCTGTGGTCATAGTCCTTTGTATTATTCAGTCTTTGTGAACTCTTTCTTTACCACCTTCTCTATAGGTGGTGCTGCTGTACCTCTCAATGTAGTCACTGGTATCAGTAGTAACATAAAGTGAAGATTTAAATCCAGGCAAGACAAGGGTTGGAACCTCTAAATATAGTAGAAGGAACGAACTATTTCTTTTAAATCCAGTGGTGGATAGTATGTCCTCATTTCGGATGCACTATTTTCTTTCTCCAGCTTGTTATATTACACACGTGTTTTTGCTGTTGAAAATTTATAAATCATTCCATGTTAGTGGAGGCACTAGAGACTTTTCTTAGAATTTTTTGTTAATTCATCTCTTATCTTGCAGAATACAGCAAAAACGACATGGGAGAGTGAAAACCTGGACTCGACATGTAGATATTTTTGAGAAGGATTTTATTTTTGTACCCCTTAATGAAGCGTGAGTAAGAATTTCCCATATGTAAATGTGGTAACAGTTTTTAGGAAATGTATTTCTGAGATTGCACAGTTATCTATCTATTATAAAACTTGGTTCTTAGAAATTTGTTGTATATGTTTTAGCACCTTATGAAAGTTAACACTGCTTTTTTAGGGAATCAGTAGATATTTAAAAATACTATTTTATTGGTTGATGTGGAATAATTTCATTAAAAATAAACAAGGTGTTAGTGGGCTAGCACATATTCTACAAAAAGTTATTTCATACTAAAAGATGGATGAATAGTTCATTTGATTGAACTTGAATCTTTATATAAAACTCAATTTCTGAAAAGGAAGAAAGGCGTATAATTATAAAATTTGCTTAGATTTAACAATAACTACCGTATTATGCTATTCTGACTATTTTAAAATAATTTAGTATGAGAAGGAAAATGTTTAAACATTCCCCCCACCCATGATTTCCAGCTAAATCCTACCAGAAACATACCTGTAGTTTTCAACCATGAGTCATCCCAGGAACTATACTAGAAAGAGTCTACTAATGAGATTTGAATTTTGGTTAGAGGATTTAGAGAAGTATGTGAGGATGGATTTGCTCTAGAGTTGTTGCTATCATAGATATTCTGTGATTGGATGAAAAAGTAGCATTTACTCATTTAGCAGGAGACGATGTTTTGTATTTTGTAGGTTGCATTGTGACATTGTGTTTATCCCTGCTTAGACAAATTTTAGAAATTGCCTTGTTTTGTCTTATCATTATTTCTGAGTAACCTTCTTTGAGGTAGAAATTCTGTGACATTATTTATGTCTAAAAGGTGTAATTTTGAGTGACACATGAGCTTCTCCTTCTGTGTGCCTTTCCTCTTCTTTTCACCTTTAAAATTATTAATAAACAAATTCACCTATAGTATGGTCAAATTCACGTTGTGTATTTTAAATTATACTTAAATCATTAGAACTATGCTCCATTATTGGTAAAAAATAAGTAGATTAGGTTGAAATATTGGTCATAATGCAGAACCTCTTCAAAACTATCAACTATTAAACATACTATCCTAATACAAGTTAAAAGTAAATGTAAATGAAATTAAATGCTCTCTTCATTGTTTCCAAATTAGGGTAAGTTACTTGACACTAATTTCTGACATGTAAAGTAACATTTGAGTTTAGTGCTGCCTCTTGGGTTAAAGAAGATAGTATACAAACAGAGCCATTTGTCAGAAATTACCTTTACAAATTTACAATCATTTAGGTGCACACACTGTAGAGAGAGGGATGTGACTCTTAGTCACTGATACTAATAAAGCTTCTATTAAGCTTCTATCTTATCCTATTGGTGAGAGATTAGGCAGAAGGATAGAGCTAAAAAAGGGTTTGCAAAAGGGATCTGCAAAGTGGAAAAATCACCTCTGAATCATATTTGTCTTATTTTTTCACAGAAGATTAGATTTTGAGCTATACATGCTTATATTCTTTAATTCACTTTTTTTCTTTGTTACTCTAATTCATCATTACTCTATTAGAACTAATTGATAGATTCCTATATTATTTTCATTTTCTTGGTAGTGCTAATTATCTTTAAGCATAAAAGTTTAGGAACTGTTAATAATTGTCATAGTAATTCATAGGAAGCAGACTGATATTTGGATCTAGTTCCTCTTGAGGTAATTGAAAATGGTTAAGGAGTGGAGCTACCAACCCAAGGGCAGGAAGTTTCTCTGGGTCTGCAGGAAAAAGGTGGACAGTCTCTTCCTGTGTGATTCACAACATCTGAAAACCCAGTGAAGTTTCAGCAGTGAGTCTTTTCCGACTTAGATTTACATAACATTCACTTGCTTTCATTTGTTTGGGAGCCCTCATGACCTAATCCATAGGGAGTTGTACTGTTAACTTAATAAGTGGCACTTCTCTGCCCATTCTAATTCAGCAGTGGCTCTTTAGGAGAAAGATGAGCAATCTCCTCCCATGCCGATTGACAGCCTCTGAAAGCCCACTGTAGAATCACTTGTATGTCGGTGCTGACTCACTGACCATGAGTTGAGTTCTTTTTAACATCAGTGGTAGCTAGTAATACAGAGAATTAGAAGTGACCTGAAGATTAAGTTGTCCTTTTTCAGCCAAGAAAAGATTTTTGCCATTTATAGCTGAGATAATAGAAAATTGATGACTCATACATATTGATATAACTAAACAATATTTAAAAACAGTACACTACATTCTATCTATATAAGTGAAGTCACTAGATTGTGCCATATTTCATCAGGTTTAAAATACCGTTTTTCATGTTGTAGTATTCATTGTTTATTCCACCAAATAGGGTGCTTTGGTGGACTGTGGGTAAGGAGTTGTGCTGCCATCCCAAAGGAAGGGGTTTTGAATCGTCTGCAGGAGAAAGCTGGGCAGACTCTTCCCCAGTGATGTATAACTTCTGAAAACCTTCTGGAGGGTCAACTGTTAGTTGGTTCTGCCTCTAGCAGTGAGTTGAGTTGGTGTCACAAATCCTTTTCTGAGCCTTGGTAATTGTGCTAGGCGTAGTGAGCTCTCTGCCATCTGTAGCCTTTTTATTGTATCCTCAGCACATAGCACTGTGCCTAGCTAATAAAAGCTCTTGATTTTTGGTTGGATTTATCTTTATGAGTCCAGTTTCTTGTACTTAAAAAGATGAATTCCGGTTACATGATTCTAGTTAGATATATAGCAACAGGTTACGTAGACTTCGTATTCTATTGAAGAAGCTTACATGGCACTGTGGTTAAGGCATTTGATTGCCTACTAGAGAAATCGGTAGTCTCAGTTCACCAGCCAGTCACCAGAAGTAAGATGAGATTGTCAGCTTCCATGCAGATTGATATCTTTGAAAACTTTATGAAATAGTTGTATGCTGTCCTGCAGGGTAAGTCTGAAGCACCTCAGTGGCAGTAAGGTATTTTGTTGATTAGTCAGCAAGTTGATTGGTTTGAGAATTGAAAATACTGGGCATTCTGAATAAATTTGTTTACAAAAATCATTAAAAGAAGCATTTCATTTGCTATTTATTGCTAAGTATTGTAAACTTTTTAATATTCAGTAGCTTCATTTGTTTTTTACAGTGCACACTGGTTTTTGGCTGTTGTTTGTTTCCCTGGTTTGGAAAAACCAAAATATGAACCTAATCCTCATTACCGTGAAAATACAATCATGCAAAAATGTCCAGCTGTAGAGGACAGTTGTATTTCTTCTCCTTCAGCCGATGAAATGGACAGTTCTTCACAAAGCACTTCTGCCAAGCCTGTAATTAAGAAGATGCTAAACAAGAAGCATTGCATAGCTGTAATTGATTCAAATGCTCTACAAGAAGAAAGTGATCCTCGGTATCGGAAGAATATATGCAATGTGAAATGTAGTCTGAAAAAACTAAATCACACTGCAAACGAAAATGAAGATTCAAATAAAGGAGAATCTGCTTGCCAAAAAGTTGTTGATAGGACTAGAAGTGAAAATGGCTCACCACATGAATATTTAAGTTCTCTGCACCACACAGGTATGTATCTGAATGTTTCAAAAGAATAGAGGAATTCTCGAAAGATAGAATATTTTTATTAAACAACATTTGAATTCCAGGGTGTACTTTTTAAAGTCGGCTTTACCGAAGTTTAGTTTGTATATTTATTTTGTAAGCCTGTTTTCCAAATGTAGCTCAGTGAGCTTTGATACATAAGCATAGTCATGCAGCATAACTGTAGCTCAGACTTAGAGCCTTTTCAGCATCAAAATATTCCTTGTGCTCCACTTGCATTTGAAAGTTAGTTCCTTACCTATCACTCTCCAGAGTTGTTTTTATTCAGATTTCTGTTTCCCAGGATTAGAAGTTGGTTTTATTTTTATATTCTAGAAAATTTGCTGTATTCCATTTAAATTCTGGTTATATTGTTTTAGAGCTTTAATTCAGTCTTCTCAGTTCATAGGTGGATAAGATAAAGTGAGATCCGTTGCAATTAAATGATTAATTCAGGTTTGTATCCTGAGAGATATAGTTTAATTTTGGGAAGTAGTATGCAGTTGACCCTGAGCAGCATGGGTGTGAACTGCTCAGCCTACTCCCATGCACATTTCCTGTTGGTAATGAGCTGAAGTGTGGTATGTGAAATGTCATATGATACTAATCATCTTCTTGTGAGCAGTTCATGTCTGGATTACTAGTGTCATTAATATGTCAGGTGGGCTTATATGATTCAAATCCATGTTGTTTAAGGGCCAACTGAAAATAATACATGGATTTCTGCCTGCACTGAAGTTTTAACACTGGCTTTCAAGGGTCAACTATATAGTTAAAATTTTAGTTAATTTCATATATAGATAGAACCCATATATAAATTTTTCTTGTCTATTTCTTTAACCTTCTTTACATTTTTATTTGACTTTTTTATGTAATATACACAAGGTTTGACAAATTGATAGCTAAGTTATATTCTTTGAGCAAGTGGTGGATTAATTGCTTTTATTATGTTCGTTTTTGTTTCATAATAGTTTTTTTAGGTGAATTTTGCCAATGATCTTGCTTATTAGCTCTCACTCATCTAATTATCAGCTTACTTCCCCCTGAAAATAACCTGGATTTGCTTTTAAAAATAGATCAGTAATAAGAATATGATTTTTATGCTTTACTGAATTTGCTTCTCATTGTCCTCATTAGTTAATCTTCTGAAATCTAACTGAAATTTATTCCTCCTTGTCTAAATTGTACCTTCTAAGTGTGTATTATCTGAAAACTAAATTTGTTTTCTGAAATAAACATAAAATATGTTCTCAGAGGATTTTTTTAATAGTTTATGCTTACTTAGCTTTATTCATTGAAAATAAAGATGATTTCTATATGTGTATATACGTGTGTATCTTATAAAATCTAGGTTATATGTAATTTTTTACTTTATCTTTTAATGATAGCAGCAAGCTAGGAACTGATTAAAAGGGTTTTTTATCATTACAGAAATTATTCAGTATTATTGGGCAATAAAATTTGTTTAAATTTTAGAGCTAAATCGAGTTATTAAAAAAAGAAGAGTGGTGATAGAAGATAAAGTAGAAACTTCTATTATTTCTGTAATAAATTGCTGAGTAAATGTGTTTATGTTGGAGCTATTATTTCATTAAACAGCTCAGCCGGTAAGAATTAAATAGCCAAAGGGAAAAGTGAAAGCTTTTTCCTCTAAAATTTCTGGAATTCAAATTAAAATTTGGTTCCTTATTCTTCTTCACTGTTTTCTGTAGAGGAGGTGGCATTGTCCACCAACCTTCTTTCCTAGTTTTACTAAACTGACTCTCTTGAGTCAATTCCATATTTCTAGCATTCACCTTTAATAAATCTAAAGCTTCTATTCAACCTTTATATTTCATATCATCAATTTTATCACTTTCTCTTCAAGGGGCCTACTACATAAAATCCATATTATGCTGCAGTATAAGCTTTGTAAACCATTTTTTAAATAAATAGTTTCAAGAAGATTCTACCAAAAATGATGTTAAATGTTCTTAGTACATCTACCAATTCATATTAATATGATTAATTAGAAAGCTATTGTTTAGCTCTTAGAATAGTATTTTATTTGTTTGACATGCTAAGCTGCATAAAGCTGACTTCAGCCATAAAATGTTGATTTTTGTGGCCTGTAAGAGGTGACATGGAGGAGACAATTGAGCACCCATCATGGGATGGGAGAGTAAATCTAATAAACAAGTCTTGCACAAAAATACTTTCTTTTCTAGCTCTCTTCTCATAGGTCAAGAAATAAGATGAACATAGGCAAATAACATAATCAACTAACAAGTGCCTGTAATAGTTCACTTTTAGTATTTCAGTGCTTGAGTGGAACACTGGTGATCCAGAGGATTTTCAGAGGCAGGAATTTGCATGAGAGGAATTCACCTTTCTCTCTAGAGAGATACTAGTAGATTTGAACTGGGTGCCTTTGGGTTGGCAGTGTAACTCCTTTTTATTAAGCCACCTTCAAGACAGTAGTGTGTACTGCTTATCATCTTTTATTTTTATTTTTCTTTCACCACATTTGAAGAAATGGTTTACATTTCTTAGCCTATAGCCATCTTTATTTTACTTTATTACATTTGCTAAGAAATGGAGAATATTGGAATTTACAGTATTACTCACTATTTTATACTACTGCCCAACATGTTACCAGCTGACAAGATAATATCGGACAAATTAAAGATGAGAGACAGGTAGCTTGGATTTCCAATATTGAATCTCCATTTTGTTAATAGAGCCAAGGAGATTCCTTCTCATGTCCTATGCCATTGTAAACAGTATGTTTATGAAGATGTTGTTGTTGTTGTTTATGTGCCATTGAGTCACTTGTGACTCATAGCAACCCTGTGTACCACAGCTCTGAAGCCTGCCCTGTCCTGAGCCAGTCTCACTGACTCAACACACCTACTCTCATTGCCCCGTTACTGTACCATCCGTCTCATCTCACTTCTTCTCTTCTGCGCTGTCCCACCACCTTTCTGAGCATTATGTCCTTCCTGAAGGACTGGTCCCTCCTGGCATCATGCCCAAAGACATGAGACAGAGCTTCAGAATCCTAGCCTAACAGGAGAAATTTTACTTCACCCTCTCCATGATAGACTGACTGATTTGTTTTCTTCACAATCCGTGGTATGTCCAAGACTCTTCTCCAGCACCAAAACTTAGGCATCATTCCATAGTAAAGTATATAGTTCTGTTTTTTTACATGCATAGATGTTTTATGAAATAATGACTCCAGTGTAAACTCATTTACTAAAACCTTACTATAGAAATAATAAAAGTTTTCAATTTATTTTGCTTTTTACTACTTTTTAATAACCTGATTCAGAGATAATCCTTTTCAAATATAATTTAGCTCTAAAGCTTAGGCAAATTTTGTAGCAGCAATATTTTAGAAGTGGTAAAATGGTTATATTTTAGTTCACCTTTAAAAGATCTATTTGTTTTATTGGCATTTCTGATTGTTGGATTACCTTTTTGTCATAGTGTCATTTCATACATACAGTGTTACCATTCTCCCTAATTTGTTCTCAGCATATGAGTTAAGGTCATGATGCCTCTGGGCTGAAAGCATGATCCACCTGGCTTGTGACTGCTGGCTTGTCCACTGAGTGGGCAGAGACTTTATAGTCTGCAGTTGCAGGATAAATTTGAAATGGTTAGCTTTGGTAAATTCACTGATGCCTGCTTTTGGGCTACATCCTTTACATTGTGTCTTACCCAACAAAGCACATTGCCATCACACTACCAGTTGTGTCATGGCGACCTCATGTTTGTAAACAAAGCAGGTTCTGCAGAGGGGTTTCAGTGCTGATTTTTCCAAAGTAGCTTCTCAGCTCTTTCTCCCAAGGAACTTCTGTGTGTTATCAAACCTCCAACTTTTAGCAATCATATGTGTTAACCAGCTGAACAGTATTTGACTTCCAGGTGTATGGGATTATGCTTTCTACTCTAGATCGGAAAGCAAATTAGGGTAGAATCATCCCTCCTCCCAGAAGGGCTTCTTTGCCCATTTTAGATCAAATTTACAATAATGTTCCCTCTATCAAAATTAAAGGACTCCAATATTCTGGAGCCCAGGCTTGCTGTACTCTACTAATTAGAACAAAAATTTTCAGATTGACCTTATTTCACGTGAAATTAATTAAAGTGCATCACTTACACAAAACAATGGGACAGAGCATAAGATTTCATAAATACAGCACACTGAGAGCTCTTCTTATCCTGCCTGAACTTCGATCAGGCTACCAAAGCTGACAATCTTCACAGGGGGAGGCTGTTCACTGTTTCATTTAAGAGCTGCTGATGAATTCACCCACCTTTCACTTGGCAACCAGACACATTACAAGCTACACCAGTAGGACCTGTTAGTCCAATAAATTACTTCAGAAATGAGAGAGACCAAAAAAAGAAAGGTAGACTATCTTCCCATGCAATTTACTGCCTCTCGAAAACCCACTGGAGCATCAGCTTTGAGTCACTTCCAACCAGATGGCATTGAAAAACAGGACTTAGTTTACTGATAGCTTGGGTTTTTTAACAGCACAGGTTTGGGGGTTTTTTATTAGTCATGACTTTTATATTGTTTTTATGTACTTTAGAGTTAGAACCGACCCATTGGTAACCCTTCAGCGGGTTTTGAGAGGCAGTAATCACATGGGAGGAGATTGCACATCCTTCTCCTTTGGAACAGCTGGTGGATTTGAACAGCAGTTTTTGTATTGTAGTTGTGTTTTTGCTTCTATTTTCATGTGTGTGTTCATATTAACTATGTTAGGTCCCTCCGGGAGGTAGATTGATTTGGTGACTGGGGTAATTGGGATGGGTGTGTCGGAGACCGTGAGATTGGCATAGGACAGAGCAGAATTTAGGGCTGTTGTGGACAGAGCAGAGTTTAGGGTTGTACATAGGGTCACAATGAGTCGCAAACGACTCGATGACACATAACAACAAACAACAAAGGTCTTTCTTAAGGTCAAGGACTCGGAATGTTTAGAACCTTCACAAACTTTTTTATTAGATGTGATGCACTGATGTTTTATATTCTTTTAAATACTCTTCTTAATCTAATTCTGTTAGTGATCCACAGTTTTGAAAATTTAGCTCTAGAGTAGCTGCATTCACTTTCAGCAAAGAGGTCCTATAACTTTCATCAGTTTTGCTTAAAGGATCACTGACATAAAAGTTCCTTAATAGTACTCTCTAGTTGTTCCATTATGAATTTAAAGAAAATTATTATGCTATCTCTCCTATACATTGTTGTTTAGTCAAAACTGAGTCATAACTGATCCTCTAACAAGTTTATTGTTGTTGTTTGTTGTTATGTACTGTTGAGTCGCTTGCAACTCATAGCAACCCTATGTACAAGAGCCCTAACCTCTGTTCTATCCTGTGCCAACCTTGCCATCTCCGACACACTCACTCCCACCACCCTAATCACAGAATCAATCCATCTCATCGAGGGTCTTCCTCTCTCCTGCACCGTCCCTCCACTCTCTCTGTAAATCACACTGGAGGTGATTGCTCATCTTTTCCTACAGAGTAGCTGATGGACTTGAACCACATGCCTTTGGGTTGACAGTCAGCACTTCAGTAGGCCACCAGAGAACTCATATATGTCTTGTGAGGTCTTTGTGGGATTTTTAAAAATCTTGTTTGTATTGTTGGAATGTGCTGTGAAGTCAGAACTGACTTGTTTTCAGAAGCAGTAAATCACATGGCAGGGGATTGTTCATTTTTCTCAAGCAGAGCAGTGGGTGGAATTGAACTGCTTGCATTTGGATTAGCAGTGCATCTCCTTACCACTGAGCCACCAGAGTTTCTTGTATTGGCAAAAGAGTCCATTTTTTTTTCTTCCTTGTAAATCTTATTTTTCTATAAATTATGACCCTTGTTATATGATGATTATGTAGTTCATCTTTTTGTAATATATTTCCCCCACTTTTATTACTTGTTAAAAGTAATGTTACCCCATGTTATATATGTTTTAGTATTTTTATCATTGTAGTTTTAAAACTATAGTGTGTTTTATATTATATTTTATAGTTTGATAACTATTCCCACTATTAGATATTTAGGTCATTTTTAGGGTTTTGTAACTTCATTATCAGTGGAAGCAATCTGGTATAGTATGACCAAAAGAATCTTTGTAAATCTCCATATACACACATGCACACATCTGTTTATTTATGTGGGTATTTTTAATTATATTTGAATATTTTTTAATCATATAATTGGTTACTACTTTGATATTTATGAGGATGAATATGGCATCAGGATTGGAGGAAGACTCATCAACAACTTGCATTAAGCAGATTACACAACCCTGCTTGCTGAAACTGAGGAGGACCTGAAATGCTTGCTGTAGAAGGTCATAGACTGAAGCATACAACATGGATTGAAGCTCAACATCAAGAAAACAAAGATTCTCACCACTGGGCTGATTGGCAGCATCATGACAGACAGTGAAGAGATGCAGTTGTTAAAAGCTTCAGTTTGTTTGGCTCCACAGTTAACACTTGGTACCAACAGACAGGAAAATAAAAGATTAATTGCATTGAGAAAGTCAGCTGCAAGGGACCACTCCAGAGTACTAAAGAGTAATGATGTCAGTCTGGAGACTAAGGTTCACCTAATACAGGCTATGGTCTTTTCAGTTCCTTGTACCTGTACCAGTAGGCAACATTATGATATAGTGAAAAAGATTTAAATTGTCTCAGATTTCATTTTACTTGGATCCACAATAAACACCCATGGTGACAGTAGTCAAGAAGTCAAAATGAGTTGCATTAGAAAAATATGTTGTTAGGAACCTCTCAAGTTCTAGAAAACAAAGATGTCAGTTAAAAACCAAGCAAAAACTGGTTTTCAGATGCTTTTTATGTATCTGAAAATTGGATGAAGAATAAGGAAGACTGAAGAAGAATTGATGCCTTTCAATTGTGATTTGACAGTGGATATTGTATACACCCTGGATTATCAAAAGAGCCAACAAATCTGTCTTGGAGGATGTACATATAACCAGTGTGCTCTGTAGTAGCAAGGACTGGAAAAGTAGAAGTTCAGCAAAAGAAGAATCTTAAGTGAAATTAATTGGTATAATGACTATCATAATGTCCTGGCATCATGAAGATGGTGCAAAATACAGAAAGATAAAACACAAAAGTTACTATAAATTGTAGTTGAAGAGACCCAGCAGCAATAGTTGGTGTTTATTGAATTAAAAGGTTCTGAGTAATAGAAACAACTCTAATCGACACATGCATCCAGGTTTTTATTATAAATCACTTTGTTCTATTATATGCTTTATTAATATTAGTACCACAGCCTCTGGCTTATGCATAACTTACTATGTTTCTTTAATACAGATGGTTTAAGTAAAATCAGATTAAACTATGGTGATGAATCATCTGAAGGTGGTAAAATGCTTGAAGATGAACTGATCGACTTCTCAGAAGATCAGGATAATCAGGTAAAGGCAGAAACTCAGAGAATTGTCTCATATAATTGAAAATTATTCTATACTATTCCTATAAGCAATACCTTCAAGCAAAAACTCACGCTGTGTTTTGGATTTGAGTCTCATGTCAAAATACACGTTCAGTTTCCATTTTAGAGGTTATCAGGATAAATATATGAGAGAAAGAAAGAGAATAAGGTAATATTTCTGAAAATACTTAAGGAGACTATATTGAGCAAGTGAGCTCTGGTGGCATAGTCCGCAGGGGCTTGTAACCCACAGCAGCATCTCTGGTGGTTCAGCCCCCTGCTGTCGTTTACAGCCTCCAAAACTCTGCTGAATGGTCAGCTCAGAGCTGGTGCCACCTCCACAGTGTTTATAGTTACATTGAGAAAGACATTTAATGGAATGCATGGCATACCAGTTCTTTAATTTTCTGACCTTCCTTTAGCTGGTAGAACAAGATTTGAATGTTAAATTACCATTTTTCATTTTGCTTAAGGCTTTTTGAAAAAAATGTTATTTTTTGTGATGTGCTCTGGCTATATCCTACAAGGAGTCCTTATGTGTATCTGGTCCTAGCACCTAATCTCTTACATTAATTAGCTGTATGAGGGGGAATGTGGCATTAGGATTGGAGAAGATTCATAATCCTGCTTGCTGAAACTGAAGCACTTTCTACAGAAGGTCAAGGACTGCAGCCTTCAATATAGATTGAAGCTCAACATCAAGAAAAGAAAAATTCTCACCACCGAGCCAGTTGGCAGCATCAGTATGGATGGTGAAGGGATTGAGATTGTTAACAGTTTTAGTTTGCTTGGATCCATAATCAACACTCTTGTTACCAGCAACCAGGAAATCAAGAGAAGAATTACATTGGGAAAGTCAGCTATCAGGTACCTCTCCAGAGTACTGAAGAGCAACAGTGTCAGTCTGGAGACTAAGGTGCACCTGCTCTAGGCCATGGTCTTTACAGTTACTTGCTATGCATCAGAGAGTTGGACAATGACTAGGGATAATAGAAGGAGAGTTGATGCCTTTGTGGTGCTGCAGAAGAGTATTGAATATACCATAGACTGCTAAACGAACAAACAGGTTTGTCTTGGAGAAGGTGAAACCAGGCTTCTCCTTGGAGGCAAAGATTCTGAGTCTTCCTCTGACATACTTTGGACATGTTGCAAGGAGGGATTAGTCCTTGGAGAGGGACATCATGCTGGGGAGGATGGAGGGACAGCACAGGAGAGGAAGACCCTCAGTGAAAATTATTGATTCTCACTGGGGCAATGTGGGCAGGTGTGTCAGAAACAATAAGATTGGCACAGGATAGAGCAGGGTTTAGGGCTCTTGTACAAAGGGTCACTATGAGTCACAAGCCACTTGATGACACATAATAACAACAACAGTAATATAGCTGGTCTTCAGTGTTTTTATTGTCCTTACCATTTGATTATTCAATTCACAAAGTTGTCAGAGTCTTCTTCAGAGGTAGAGTCTTTTTTACATAAAAATAGTAAGTTTGATTGAGTCATACCCTATTACAGAATAGTTATTTTAATCAGCAAACTTAATTTTAAAGAAAATAACTAAAATCAGAGCTGTTTGTATTTGTTAGTATAAAATTTTTTTAATCTTTGGTGGTGTTTTTATTCAATCCATTTAGATTTTGTATTTTCAATTTTAATTAGGCTTTCTTTTGTAGGACGATAGCAGTGATGATGGATTCCTTGCTGATGATAACTGCAACTCAGAAATAGGACAGTGGCATTTAAAGCCTACAATCTGTAAACAGTATGTATTAACTGTGTATCTTATATGAACTATGTGATAATTTTTTTAAAGCCCCCTCACAGAGTAAAACATCCAGGAATGTTTGTTTTTAAAGAAATAATTGTGTAAGAGTCACAAAGGCAGTTCATTGAAGAAGAAAGAGCATACATCATTCAAGAAACAAGGAGGGCAGAATTGATACTCATTTTGGTCTCCCCTTTGATTACATTTCCAGGCTCTGTGTGTATGTGTATACACATACCTATACAAACTTCCATAGTAAGCCACTTGAGTGTTTGGGATTTCTTTAATACACTGATTTGAAATAAAGAGTATGAATGTCCATTCTAATCAGTAACATACAAATTGGAATTTAGATTGGTTTCCTAACATAGGAATTAGAGTTTAGGTTGGGTTCATAGCTACTGTATAAGGGGTATGTGGAATGAATCAAGGCAGTCTTCTGAGGCATGGACCAGATGGGAGTCCCATAAGAGCCTGTTGGTTCTCAGAAGTGTTTGTGATGCGGTATATCCAGAGGCTATGAACTTTTTAGGTGATGGCATAAAAGTAAGAGACCAAAATGAATTCAGAGATGGCCCTGAATCTCTCAATCTTCAAGCACTTAGACCTTCAGATAGTCCAGGGGGTTTTCGTACTCTTTTACACCCCCCCAGTAACTTGGATTTGTAGCATAGCTTTCTAGGATTAAAATATTGAGGGTTGAATATTAGTTACATTGGATATTCTGAAGTAGAATCTTCCTCTCCATCCCTTGCCAAAAACCCCAAACCCCTATAGATTTTTTTTTTTTTAATTAGATGCAGTAGTTACCTGGTTATTGACAGTAAGGTTTAGTTGAAAGTGAAATTATTTTCCTTCTATTTTATGTGGTCCCACATTTGATGATTAGAAGTATGGGTGTATTTCAAATTTCTGAATTACTTTTACTTTCTACATAATCTTTAAATACTTTTAGGAAGCAACAAAGAAAATTTAGTTTATAACTAAAGTGATTCCATCAGTTTTCTAATATTTACATAGATATTTAAATATTATTAAACTGCATGTATTATATATGATTCTTTTTTCTTCCTTTAAATTTTACTGAGACAAAAAGGAATTCTGAATGTTTTAAATGATATTGTTCATGTACCACATTTTTATTTTGTTATACCTTTACGACATTATAAGGTAGTCAACATTTGGTCATTTTCACCCTGCAGACCTTGTATCCTGCTTATGGACTCACTCAGAGGCCCTTCTCGGTCAAATGTTGTAAAAATTCTGAGAGAGTAAGTTCAAAATGTGCCCTCACACTTTGTATCATTTCCTGGTGTGGTTGAACATACATACATGTGTGTTCTTACTATATGTGAATTGTTACAGGTATCTAGAAGTAGAATGGGAAGTTAAAAAGGGAAGCAAAAGAAGTTTTTCCAAAGATGTGATGAAAGGCTCTAATCCAAAAGTACCACAGCAAAACAACTTCAGTGATTGTGGTGTGTATGTATTGCAGTATGTAGAGAGCTTTTTTGAGGTGAGTCTCAGGATTTTTTAATCTGATATAATAAATAGTAAAGTCTTTTGACCCTGATTTAGTGTAAAAGACACAGTAAACATCTTAAGTCTCTTAACTATTATTTAGCAATTACGCTAGAGAGCCAAAGCTTCCCTATTGGAGAAATTTTTAAAGCAAAAGTACTATATTATATTTCATCAAATTTAAGAATTCCTTGACTTTATTCCATTCATGTATGTCTTCAACTCTGCCTCCCCTAATTCTGTTTTTAAAAATCTTTCCCTGATTTAGAACCTCTTTTACTCTTTTCTTCCTTTCACAGTTATTTTTATCAACTGTCTTTATTTCCGCTACTCCTCTGTTTACTTGTAATCTGTGTCTATCCTCACCTTTATAATGAGAATTTTTTTCCCTCCCAGCACCATTTAACCCTGTTGACTAAGACCCAGACTAATTCTTTTCTTTTTCTACTTCTTGTAGGAAGATACCTTTTGGTGGCTTATTGTTCCTCTTGGACTAAAGACTAAAATCTGTCACATGGCCTATAGCCACCTGTATGATCTAGCCCCTGCCCAAGCTTCTAGTCTCATTAGTACTTTTCTCATTCATTTTTTAGCCATGTGAACCTCATTCAGTGTCTCATATTGTATGTTCTTTCTTGCCCCTAGGCCTTGATACTTGTTTCCTTACCTGGAATACTCTTACCTGTTGCTTCTATCATTCCTTGGCTGGCTAACTCCTAGTCATCCTTCAAGTCTCAGCTTAAACATCATTTCTTCTAGGAATTGTGTTAAACTCCCGGATATGTTCTATTAGTACTCTGGACTTCTCCTGACATAATACTTGCCATGTTCATTGTTTTATCAATTGCCTGTTAATCAAGGCTGGACTTAGCACACTTTTTCTATGTCATCTTTTTATAGATTTCTGGGTCATATAGTCTCTATTGTGACTTCTCATTAGTGCTATTGTAATGTAAAAGCAGCCAAAAATAATAAATAAATGAAAATGAGTGTGACTGTATTTCAGAAAACTTTGTACAGCATAGGCAATAGGCTGGATTTGGTTTTTAAGTTTGTAGACCCTTGATCTAGACCACAAGATCTTTAAAAGCACAGTCTTCTATTTCAGGTATCAAGCATAATGCCTGGCACGTAATAGATGTAATGAGTAAACACATATTAAATGAACAATTGATTTTTGTTTCCATTTTGGAAAGCTTTTGTAATGAAAACTGTAATAAAAAGTATTCTTAATCTTTTTAATGTACATTTTATTTTATTTTATTTTTAGAACCCAATTCTCAATTTTGAACTACCTATGAATCTGGCAAACTGGTTTCCTCCCCCAAGAATGAGAACAAAAAGAGAGGAAATCCAAAACATCATTCTGAAGCTGCAAGAAGATCAGTGCAAAGAGAAGAAAAAGCATAAGGACACTTACTCAGTAGAAGCAGCGTTAGAAGAAGGAGGAGAACAGTATGTCAGCAGTATTTCAGAATGACCATGGCTGTTGCTTGTCTGCTCTGCCTTCAGAAATGGAACGACTTTCACCTTTAATTATAGATATCAAGGAACTGATGTGCTCCTTACTCAGAGTGATTTGGAAATGTTAATGTTTGTATAAATGTCATATAATTAATTTTCATTGGAGTATGTATTAAGTAAATGTCTGTAAATATGTTAATGAGGCCAATTTTTCCAGCATTTATAATTATTTTTTTCACTTGTTAGGATGTTTTTGTTAATGTATTTTCTGTTAATAGTACTTAAAACTGCAACTTCCAAACACAAAATAAATAAAAAGAAAATATTTATAGGAGGAAATGGTTAACTTGATATTATTTAGCAAACCTGTGTTAAATTTTTCAGTGGGTGTGATATATTTCATAGGAATATTTAAGTGACTGATAATCTTTTGACCTTTTACATTTGTTTTTAAATATGGAAACATAAGATTAAATACAGCATTTTTATTACAGAGGAAGACTTTTTCATACACTTAGTTTGATTAATGACAGTAGTTATAGATAGGCTTCAGGCCTTTTGTTCATAGGGTCTCTGAACCATGCTCGAATCAGTAACAACAATAAAGTAGAAAAAAGTAAGAGCTTTTTAATTCATACACTTGAGTGCTCAGAAAACTGAAGAAATACTAATAAATATTTATCATTTTAAACTAATATTTATAAAGAAGCAGTATTAAGAACTGTTCAAATTTGTTACTTTGAATTATGCTACTAAATAATGAAATATACTTTTATTATTAAATGTTATCAAATCCATTTATGAAAACATCAGAGACTCGATAAAATTGTTGGTTAAGTCTGTTTGAATCTCCAATTTCCCATATTATCTGTCTATATTATACATTAACCTATTTTACAACTTACATAATTAATTGGTAACATTTTTTAATCTGTGTGAGCACAGGAATTTAAATAGGAATTTACTATTTTTAATAGCTTTTGCTACTTTTCCTTTGCTCATTTGGTTTTCTTTAAAGAAAATATCAAACTTTTTTCTTAAGCATATCAGTGTAAATTATTTTTAAATGTATAATTATTGCCTCTAGTATTTTTATAAAATTTAACTCATTTGAATTCCCTTTGAAAGTACTAAAATGTAATAGTTTTGATGAGATTGAGAGCTCATATAGGGGACCTTCCATATACTTGAAGTCCTGCAAAAACAAGAATTTTTCAAATTATGTGTTATGCTTTCCTTTCTGGTTAACTTTAAAAATCTATGTTAGTGAATTTTTAACTGCTTGTGTTAACAGAAGTGGCATTTAAAAAGATATTTTTATCTTCAGCAGTCATTTTTATTTTGTTCATCTCTAGAATGGCAGCAACATTTTATATCATTTTCTTAAATTTAATTAGATCCAAAAATATGGAATTTTAGGAAGAAAGAATGATGGGAACGTGGTTAACAACAACAAAACATCTGTTAAGACAAAATTTTGAAATTAGGACCTGTAAGAGAATTATTAAAGTACAAATTTAAGGAAAGTCACTATTGTATGAACTATAGATTATTGTTACTTTGAACTTTGACATTTTTAATTTCTAACAGCATTTTTTATAAATAGGTAGTAGATCAGATAAGAAAAATAAGACATTTAATTTTAATGTTTACTGAATATGGCAAAATACCTTTACTTTTCTAATAAAACCAAGACAGATTGTTTAAAAAACCTAATTTCAGTAAGCAAAACAGATATATTTTTTAAATGTCCTGCATCTTATAAGGATTCTAAAGAAATGGGGGAGGGGGGAACCTCACCACACTAAAATTTAATTTTTAATTGGTGACATTTTACACTCATAACTTTTTATAAGATAAAAATAAAATTTTTCCTTTAGAAAAGTTTACCATTCCAATTTTGACATGAAAAATATGGCTAGAAGCATGCCAGATTTCTAGAGGGGAGATATATATATTTAAAATTGTGCTAATGACGTTACAATATATTGAAGATTTGGGAGATGAAAAATGTGCCTCCAAATTAGACTTGAGACTTTCTGGTATAATTACACATTGATTTGAAAATTGTGTACCCTGGTACTTCTTTATGTAGTTTAAAGTAGATACCAACATTTTAAATTGTGTTATTGGTACTTAGAATTTGTGAAGCAAAACTTTGAAGTCTAGAGGTTTGTTACTGGACACTGAAACTGCATGATGAATATCTGGTGTCTTAACTAATTAGATAGATCTGTTGTATTGGTTTTCTTGTCGGATAGAATAACGGTTAATAAGTTTTAGAAGAGTTTTAGATTACTTGCCATTAAATATGTATGCATCTCAGCTCTTGGTTGTTTAGGAGCAAAAGTGGTGCTTTATTAGTCTCTTCCCTTCATTGTTGCTTTACTTGTTTTAAGGTAGTTGAAAACATTATTTCAAGTTCACATAAACAGTTTAAAAAATTTGGGGGGCATAGAATTGAGTATGATTCAATTCTTAGTTGATTAAATAGAGGAGGTTTTATTTTAAAGGATAAACTTTATATCAAAGTTACATTGTGTTCTAAGTCACCAAAATGAATTCAGTATTTCTTTTTCTTTAAAACTTACCTATGAAAACTAAAATATAATGGAAGAAGGAAATAATGTTATTTTACCAAGAAAAAAAATATTGTACTTAAAGGTTTAAACTATTCACTGAAAATAATATGATATTTTAGTACATAATAAATTAAGAGTTGATGGTACTGTAATACAAAGATGGAATAGAATAACTTTGACAGAAGAAACAACTCATGAAAGTTATGAGGCAGCATAGTGCTCTATGCCAGATAAGAAGTGTGCTCTATAAGGCATTCTGAGGACAAATGTTAAGGGACGAGATTACTGTGATGGGCATACTGCTTACAGACTTCTAGCCAAGCTATGTGAAACAACAGAGCAAGGCTAGGCAGTATCAGGAAATGTAAAAATGTGCAGAAATATGCCCACAAGAATTTGATGCATTTGTATTTTTTACTCTCAGAAGGTAGACCAACTATTCTGTAAGGAGTGGTGGAATAGTCCATATAGAGTTGTACTGCTAAAGCCAAAGGTGGAATTTCTCTGGGGGCTCAAATCTGCCAACAACTCCATAGGAGAAAGATGGACAGTTGCCACACTTGCAGCCCCAAAACCACTGGACAATTAAGCTGTGAGTCAGTTCCAACTCAACAGTAATGAGTTTGCATTTGTCCCAAAACAAATTTATGTGCAGAAGAATTGCCTAAAGGAGTGGAGACAGTGTGATCCTTGAGGAAAAGTTGCCTTACTATCATAACTCTGATAGTCAGGTCAATGAAAACAAGTAGAATAACAAAGCTTATGGAAATTAGGTTGTAATGTACTTACAGAGAAATTACCATAAACCAAATTCTGAAAAAGAGTTGAAAGTTAGCTGTATATTGTTTAATTTTAAATTACACATTTTCCAAGAATTTCCTAGATAAATCTGGTGTGTGCCTACTGTGATAAATCACTGGCTTGAAAGGATCGCATATGTCCCTGATAACTTTCAGGTGCTAGCCTCAGACCTTTTGTTGGTGCTTGTCTGCAATTTCTACCCTGGTATGTTTACCATTCCAGACTTGATTATGTAACTTGCTAGATGCTGACAAGTGACGCCCCATTCATAGTGATCTGGACACACTGCTCCATCATGCCTCCTCTTCATAGTTGGTATGTTTTAGTCTATTGCTCGTGGACTTTGATCATAAATTCAAGTAAAAAGATTCTTGACAACTTCAGTCTTTTCTTCCTCTAGCATGTTAATTATTTGCCCACTTGTGAGGATTTTTTTTAATTTGTTTATGTTAAATTCTATAATCCATACTGAAGGCAATAATATTTCTCAGCAAATGCTTTAAATCTTGGCTTTCAGCGAGCAAAATTTAGTCATCTGCTTATCACAGCAGATATTCACATGCAAGCAAGATTCTGCTGAAGATCATCCAAAAACGATTAGAACAGCACATCAGCAGAGAACTGCCGGAAGTCCAGGCTGGGTTTAGA